CTCTCCCTCTCCCTTCCTCTCTCTCTCAAATCAATAAAGAAAAAGAAATTTGAAAAAAATGTTAGAAACCAGCACTATAAAAGATATAAAAGATTACATTTTTCCTCTGACTCTATCAGTAGCAGAGGACTGTGTCACTGCATGCTGATGGACTTGGTTCTTGGAAGTGACAGAACTTAGGGTGTAACTTGAAACAACTATTGTGATGCGCAGTCTGACAGGATCTTTACATTTAAATGAACATACACTGTTTCACTTCACAGCATCTACCCTAGAGAAACACGTGTGCTCAAAAAACACTACAGCACTGTGTATGGTAGAGAAAAGTTGGGGAAAATCCAATGCTGCCCTGGCTCGTGTGCCTTAGTGGTTAGAGTGCTGGCTAGTGGCCCGAAGGGTCTCAAGTTTGATTCCCAGTCAAGGGCATGTACCTGGGTTGTGGGTTCTATCCCTGGCCCCTGTAAGGGTTGTGCAGGAAGCAACCAATTGATGTGTTTATAAGATGTAGCTCTGTCCCCCTGCTGTAAGGTTGATCATACCTTTCTCCAAGTGTTCAGGCCAAAAGATAAGTGAAGGCAGCTACCAAAAAACAGAAAATAGCCCTGGCCGGTTTGGCTCAGCGGTTAGAGCGTCGGCCTGCGGTCCCGAGAGACCCGGGTTCGGTTACCGCTAAGGGCATGTACCTCAGTTGCAGTTTGTCCCTGGCCCTGGTTGGGTCATGCGGGTGGCAGCCACTCGATGTGTCCCTTTCACGTCGATGTTTCTCTCTCTCTTCCTCTCTTTCCCTTCCACTCCATCTGAACAACAACAACAACAACAACAAAAAAAAAAAAAACAGAAAAAATCTTCTCGAGTGCGGATAAAAAAACACACACAGAAAATAGTGCTCCTTGCTAAACCTGCTAGCACCCAGCATGGGTGAGAAAGTCCTGGATTCTAGTCAATCAAACATTTTTTTTCAAAAGAGAGATACGTTACATATCATTTGGGGTTACAGACTGATGTGTCTCTCCCATCGATGTTTCTCTCTCTCTCCCTCCCTCATTTCCACGCTTTCTAAAGAATCAATGGAAAAATATCATCGTATGAGGATTTAAAATAATAATAATAAAATGCATTTGATTAAAACTCTAATAAACATGGTTTAATCTTTCCCAGATGATTCAGAGGAAGTTCAGGATCCGCACAGCCTCTGAATCATCTGGGAACACCGGCTGTCTTTGTAGTGGAGAGCACCAGTAGACTGGTTAATTCCGCAGCTGCTGAAGTTTCTCAGAAGGAACGAATGGATTGTTATGCTTTTATTACAATCCAGTGGGTGGTTAGGTATGATTTTACTAGTCAGCAGCATTTCAAATATGTTTTCATCTGGTGTGTGGGAAGTTAGAAATGTTAACATTTTGCCTTTAACTGGAGCATAACGCAGAGGTTGTTGTGTGGCATTTGGATGTCTTAAGGATGCTGTGCGCTCGTCTGTCTTACTTCATCAATTCTGCTTATGGTGAAATTAGCACTCACATACATTGCTGGTGTTGCATTCCTTTCTGGAGGGTAACTTGTCCCTGGGTATCAAAAGCCCTTAAAATAGCATACTCTTACACTCTGAAATTCTAACGTCTGAGAATATTTTCTAGGTAAGTAATTGAACAAGTGGTAAAAGTATAGCTATAATGATGTCCTTTGCAGCAATGTTTATAAGAACATAAATTTGGAAAAATCTTAACTGTCCATCAGTAGAAAATGGGTTAAATAGATTATAGTACATCCCTATAATTACTGTGTACATATATACATAGAATACTGTGTCGCTGTGAAAATTATATTGTATTAATATATTAAAAATAGTCGTAAATAAGGTAATTTTTACAACCGTTTATAAAATTATATCTATATAACACAATCCCACTTTGTTAAAAATAAAAACATTGGTGATCCACGTGAAAATGTCTGGTATGATGCTAATCATGTTTATATCTGAGTGGCAAGTGATTAGGGAGCTAATTTTTTCCTTCTCTTTCATACATCTTGTGTTGTCTGGTTTAAGAAAACAGGTGTATTTTACTTTTAGAACCAGAACAAAATGAACAGTTACATTTTTTTCAATTTTGAAAGAAAAAATACAAACCTGTGATAGTTGCCTGAAAGGTAGGTTGCTGTGGGACAGACCTAAAAGCAAGAAGCTACCTGGCTTTGCACACTGAGGTCTAACGCAGGGAGTCTCACCTTCGAGGAATTTCCACACATGCCGTGTCATTTGGTATGGACACAACCTCACTTACAAAGTCAACTGGTAGGTTGTTGAGCCAGGGGCATGTTGTGAATTCAAAATACCATGAAGTCTTTTTGCATCTTCTTTTGTTCTTTAAGAACAATTTTGGGTATTCATTAGTAGTAACCAAAGAGCCTTAAAAATCTAGTTCTGGTAACTGGGTATCCTGGCAAGGGGCTGCGGCTGGGAGTGGTTGACTGTGAGTTTTCAGCCCTACCAAGTGAGAAGAGTCAGAGGAGACGGTGAGTGACCCGGGTGTTCAGGACACTCCCCCGTGAGAAATCTAAGGTGAAGAAATGTTGAGTGGGACTTGGCCTCAGGGGCAAATCAAGTTTGTGTCAGAGCTAAATGCCAGCGATTCCAGCCGTGAACCACATCGGTAGGTGGGAGGAAGACACTAACATCTCAAAGTGTTCAAGCATAGTGGGAACGAAAGGGCTAAACATGAAATTCCATTTAGGAAGGGGGGAGGGTTCCGTTTGTAGCAAAGGATGTTCCGTATGGAGCCTTTACGTCTCCTGCTTGTCTTGGAAAAGGCAGGCCCGGTGATAGCCAAGACCTCGTGGCTGATCCAGGGACGTAGAAGAACATATTAAGACTTTGTGTTTGATTAGCTTGGGAAGCAGTCATTAAAGACCCTGCCATGGTTAAAGCTGTCTACTGAGAAATCAGCCAAAGGAATATTAGGCCAAGAATCTGAAGATTGAAGCCAGACCACTGGGAAGGTCTTTTGACTGCAAACTACAGTGTGATTGAATTAGAAGGGAACATTCGAATCATGTCATGTTGTCACCTCAAGTTCAACAAGTCTAAGATTGAATTCATCTGTCCTCACAAGGCAGCTCCTCGACTGCACTCGTAAAATACTGCCGTGTAGAATGCCTCACCGCAGCACCCAGGGTTTCATCCGATGGTCACACACTCACAGACAAGGAAATCTAACTCGGGCTAATCAAGGGCGTTAGCTCGTCAGAGGCCGGTTCTAGAAACCAGGTTTTCTGAGTACTAATCTAGTCATCTTTCAACCACCTCCCACTGCCCTTCTCGCCACATTTGCAGAAAGAAACCAGGCAGTGACATTTTATTTATATTGAAATTGGAGTGTTGCACACTAGCAGAGTTTAGTAAGTATGAAGTCAAATTTTTCTAAAGTAGCAAAGAACAAACCAACCAACCTTAGGAATTGTTCATCTTGGGTTTTATAAGGTACCTAGGTGAAAAAATTCATAGCGTTGGTATGGTGGAAGTCAAAAGATAACACCGGGTTTACATCTAAACATGCCCAGTTTGTACATGTAACCCAGCACCCTCGATCTTTAGGTTCATATTGTTGGTATAAATTGTGTGGTTTCGCATACAATTTATATTTTTCATTTATTTTTAATATGTTTTTATTGATTTCTTACAGAGGAAGGGAGAGATAGAAACATTGATGTGAGGGGGAAACTCAATCGGCTGCCTCCTGCACGCCCCCTACTGGGGATCGAGCCCGCAATCCCGGGCATGTGCCCCGACCAGGAATCCAGCCAGGACCTCTCAGTCCATGAGACGATGCTCAATCCACTGAGCCACATCGGCAGGGCTTTATATTTTTGTTTTCCTTCACCTGTAAATTATTTTAGCTTGGTCTTGATATAAGAAGAATAAGCATGCAAGTTTTGCATATCTGGCTATTTGTAGATGCGTAAGTAACACTCATGAAAGCCCTGTAACTCCCTAAGGTAAGAACAGCCTGCTGCACAGAGCAGCTCCATCCCACCCCGTGGGCCCATCAGGCCAGCTTGTCCCTGGGTCAGCACACCCAGGCCTCCTTGGCACTGTGTATCTCCAGACACCCTACTCCAGGTCATTTCCTGAGTCTGGGCATCTGTACTTCCTAGCTCTTGTGCGTTACGGGGGAATAAGTATTAAGGAATACACATCTAACGTGGTGCTATTGATTGTATCATTTCCCTTAATAGGCATTTGCTTCGGCTGAAACTATGCATGTGAAGTTCTCTGTGCCTCTTCCACCTGTCCTAGCCCTTAGGTTTCTTCCTAAATATATACGTGTGGGCTACCAAGATGCGCCCGGCATGTGTGAGATTCTACAGCATGTTTTAGAAAAGAGGAGACGTAGAGGGAGCTGCACTGATGTTGAAGCCCCTACTAGCTGGCACCTTCTCTCTCCTGTAAAAAGGCAAAAGTAAAATCCAGGCAACGAGGATGTCCTGCTCTCGATTCTAATGAGCAATTTGAGCTTTTTAATGTCAAAGTCCCGATTTGGTCATTTAACTTGATTCTGTTCTGACCTTGTGACAATATCTACACAAATAATGAGTACAACATGCTGAACATTTTCAACAAGTGTTTTGATAATTTGTAGTTCGATCTTTGGATTTCTGCTGCTAAATCGTACATGCTAGTCATCAGCTTAGTGAAGAAATCCAAACCCGCTCACAGTCTCTGAAGGCAACCGGCCTTGGTGTAGGTTTTTAAAATTTAAGCTGCTTATTGGATCATTGCAAATGATCTCCTGTAGATGTTGGATTAAGTGCTTTTCAGATATGTAAAGGTTTGAAAACTGGAGAGATCGGGTCTCTAAACTTAAGGAACAGAACCATCCTTTTGGAACTCTGTGGTTCAGGAAGGAGTCCAGTTCAGAAGAGGACTCACAGCTGACCCTGCCAACGAGTTGGTGAAGATGGTTGGCACTTGACATGCTCAAGAGGTGGTTTCTGTGATGTTGCAGAATCGCCTACCAAAGGAACGACGACGATGAGGAGGAGGCAGCCCGGGAACGGCGCCGGCGAGCCCGACAGGAGAGGCTGCGGCAGAAGCAGGAGGAAGAGTCTCTGGGGCAGGTGACCGACCAGGTGGAGGTTAACGCCCAGAACAGGTACTGTCGTCTTCGGGAGAGAGAATTTCTAAGTTGCTTCTTAGCCTGTCTGATGAATGGAATGTGTTGGGCAAAGCAATTCCTTCTTTCTCAACTCGACTCTTTTCAGTCTAATTTGTTTAATTATGTCATGGCCATTTTAGGCAACTAATCAGATTAAACAAACTGATTTCGACATTAGGACACGACTACTCCTTTCTTTCCCCCCACCCCATTCCCCAAATGCACCCCAATTGAGTGACTTCATTTTGTTTTATAATCTAGTAAATTTTTTTATGTATTCAATATGGTGGGTTATCGCTTTAAATAAGGAGAACTAATTACATTCATTCTTTAGACTATTGCTATCTGTTTTGAACCAAAGATTTATTAATTCCATAGTCCTCTGTGCCTAGGAGTATAAGCTAATACTTCAATTTTAAAAGTAGGCATGAAGACCTGGCCGGTTTGGCTCAGCAGTTAGAGCATCGGCCTGTGGTCCAGAGAGACCCGGGTTCAGTTCCCGCTAAGGGCATGCACCTCAGTTGCAGTTTGTCCCCAGCCCTGGTTGGTCCTGCGGGTGGCAACCACTCGATGTGTCCCTTTCACATCGATGTTTCTCTCTCTCACTCTCTCTCTCTTTCTCTCTCTCTCTCCCCCCTTCCCACCTCCCACTCTACCTGAACAAAAAAATAGAAAAATGTCCTCGGATGAGGATAAATAAATAAATATAATAAAAGTAGGCATGAATTGCAAATGTCTTGTTTTCCCTGATATACTACAGCCTTGAATCAATAGTCTGTGACCACTACAATATTCAGCAAGGTGCAGAATCCTGTTTAATTTAATGTAATTATTAAAACAAGCTTGTGAGTCTGCATCTACATTTTTCCTATACATGCCCTAGTAGAAATCAGAAAAGTCGAGAGCACTTAAGAGATTCAACCTCTGCCCAGCCACTGTGGCTCAATGGATTGAGCGTAATCCTGTGGACTGAGAGATCCCAGTTTGACTCGTGGTCAGGGCACATGCGGGGGCTGCAGGCTCGATCCCTAGTAGGGGGCATGCAGGAGGCAGCGGATCTATGTTTCTCTCTCTCCCTTAATCTGTCTCTAAAAAGTCAATAAAAGCATATTTTAAAAAATAAAGAGATTCAATTTCTTCAGAAGGGGACTTTACAAATTCACACATATGAGGTCTCACAGTCCATTATGCTAATGGTTAATGTAAGTCATTTATATGCCCCAAAGTGTAGAAAAAATGAGAATATTTGGAGGGGAAAATGGAGGAAAAAGTTAATATTAAAGTACAACTATGGACTGATTAAATATAATGAAACCACCATATAAGATCTTGTATGTGGTTTTGGTTTTAATTTGTTTTGTTTGTTTTTTTAATCTTTACCCGAGGATATTTTTCCGTTTATCTTCAGATAGAGTGAGAGGGAGGGGGAGAGAGAGAGAACATCAATGTAAGAAAGACACATCAACTGGTTGCCTCCCTCATGACCCTGACCAGGCAACCAAGGCCAGGGACCGAACCAAAACTGAGGTGCCCTTGACCGGAATCAAACCCAAGACCCTTTGGTCCGCGAGCTGACCTCTAACCACTGAGCCAAACCAGCCAGGGCTGATAGTTTCTCTAACTCAATCTATCTAAAACATTCTGAACAGAAGGAGTTCTGGCCTCTTTGGCCCAAATTTGAGTGGGTACACAGAAAGTTTCTGAAGGCAGTCTTGAAAATGCTGGCAGGAAGGATGAATTCAATAAGGAAACGTATTGGTTAGATGGAGAAATAGAGCCCATGTCTCTTGGTAAATAGTAGCTCCGATTTAGGGAGGAATATAGCAAAGGGGATGTAGGTATATTCTCTGGAGTTCACTACTTGGCTTTGAATCTGAACTTGGCCTTTCACTAACTGTATTTCTTCAGTTAAATGTAAATGAACATTATACTACCTTTCTCTTAGGAACATTGTTAAATTTAAATGAGATAATAAAAAGTAAATTGCGCAGTGCCTGGCACATAGTAAGCACCTAATTTTAACTATTATTAAGAAGATGGTATTAGAGTCTCCCAGAATAGGGCTGCCTAGTCTATTTTTGAGCAGAGGATGCAAGGGGGGGGGGGCTAAAAAAATAGCAATTTGAGGCCTTGACTGAATCTGATTATTAGCAAATGATCAACAACGGCTTTAAAAAGTTACTTATGGTCTGTAGTTTTTCTTGCTTTTCAAATCTTGCTTCTCTATTTGAGTTTCCTTTTTTCCCCCCATTTTATTCATAATAGTTATTTCCTGCTATTGATTGAACAGATTTTTTTTTTTTTTTTTTGGTAAAGCCTATTCTATCAGAGAACATGAGATTTACCTCTAAAATATAAACAACCCCAACTGGTACTTAACTTCTACTGATGATCCCTGTCATGATTTATCAATAGGCAAAGAAAGGTTCAGTAGAGTCTGTTGGTTTCTCAACTGAAGAGTACTTTCATCTGACTAACACTGTAGAATTTGGGGTATCTTTTAAAAAGTACTTAAATTCAGTTGCTCCAAATGCCTATCTATGTATATGGACATTTCCCCTTAAATTCCAAACTTTGTATTTGGAGGGAAATTTAATCCTTATATGTCTAATTCATGGAGAGAGTGTCCTGTGGCAACAGCTAAGGCCAAGAAAGTTTAAAATCCAGCCTTCACTCTGCCATTTCTTGTTGTTCAATGTGAAATGTGTTTTTCCAAAATTAAGTGAACTTGAACTTCAAAAGAGCCAAGTTCGGTATGAACCATGAAATTTGATGGAGTTTCTAAACATTGCAAGACATATTCTTCCAACTCTGGCCACAGTTCCTGGTATCACATGACTGGTTGTTTCCTGCCAGCAGAGACCCACACCCCTGGCCGGGGCAGTGTCCAGCATCCTGCAATAGTGAGTGAGGTGATGGACATGGCGCGGCTTGATTTTTAGAGATTTCCTTTTCTTTTTTAAATAAACATCAAATTCAACTGTTCTTTGTCTACTGTGGAAAGAAGGGCAAGAGATCCTTTACTCATGGAAATCTTAGCAAAAAAATGTAGATGGTGTGTATTATTAGTTAGGGTAATGGCCGCTGCTAAAACAATGAGCTCCTACATTTTGGTAGTTTAATTTGATTATACATACTATTCCGGTGTGGTTACTTCCGACTAGTAGGGAGAACTGGTCACCTACTTTCTTTCCTCTTGGGACTCTGAATTCCTGGTGCTTTGGCGTCCTCTGATCTAGCCAGCAGACAGAGACAGACAGGGTAGGAAATGTACCTTTGCTTCCTAGTTTTCTTGGTCAGGACACATCACTTCTGCTCAATAATTTCAGTTGGAAATTATTGGTTACATGGCTCTATCTGGGTGCAAGGAAGAGGGGAGAGTAGAAAATATAATCGCTGACTGACCATCACTTCCTGGGCCTCTGGGAGGAAGGGAGAGCAGGCTTGTGGTGGACAGTTACCTGTCTGGAGGGGGGCGGGGTGGGGGGGAGGGTCATCGGAGTGCGTATAACATTCCCACGCTGTAATGTACACTCCCATCCCCTCAAAGTGCTTTGTGTTCACCAGTCCAGTTCAAGAATTCTACATGACTTGGTGACATGTGAAAATATTATATGATACTAGAGGAATTCGCTTATTATTTCAGTTTGGTCCTTGTCTTAGTTAGAGTTCCCTAAGACGCGGATCCTGAAACAAAGTTTTGACCACAGGTTGTTTATCTGTAGGACAGTCCCAGAAAACAGTGTGGGGAACTGCGACAGGGAAGGGGAGGCCACCAAGTAGAGGTTTCATTGCCAAACTGGTGACCACTGTGGGGATCTGGAGCTTAACTCTCCCAGGAAATTCCAAGATCCAGGACAGCCCAGGCCCTGCAGAGTTATGCAACTCAAAGGTGTGGGGAGCAAGGTATTTTACACCAGTGCTCATCGAGTTTAGTTTGAGGGCTGCTCCCGGGGGGCGTTAACATTCCAAGCACCTCTGGCGGGGAGAGCAGACCTCAGCGGCCAGGGAGGGACCATGGGCACAGGCTGCGCACGCTGTCAGTGGAGGGTGGCCATGGGGTGGCCCTGCCAGCTCTGTTCCGGTGTGGGGCGGGGGCATCCAGCTGACCGACTAATCAGCAGCTCGCTGTCTCTGCTGTTGTTTCTGCTGCCCAGTGTGCCCGACGAGGAGGTCAAGACCACCACGTCCAACACGCAGGTGGACGACGACGACGAGGCGGCGCTGCTGGAGCGCCTGGCCCGGCGGGAGGAGAGACGCCAGAAGCGGCTGCAGGAGGCGCTGGAGCGGCAGAAGGAGTTCGACCCCACGGTCACGGAGGCCGGGCTGTCGCCGCCCAGCGGAGGGATGCGGAACGACGCCGCCGAGAACGACACCGCCGCGAAGGAAGAGAAAAGTGCAAGTCGCCAAGAGAGATACGAGACGGAGGAGACGGAAATAGTCACCAAGTCCTACCAGAAGAATGACTGGAGGGAGGCCGAAGAGCAAAAGAAAGAGGAGGAGGAGGAAGAGGAGAAGCCAAAGCGAGGGAGCATCAGAGAAAATCAGGTAGAGGCGATGGTAGAAGAGGCAGCAGTAGAACCGCCAGAAGACACAGTGGGGATGTCTTTGAAAAATGGGCAGATCAGTGCAGATGAGCCTAAAACGGAGGATGAGAGGGAGCAAGGTCCAGATGAGATGGCCCGTGATGAAGAGATGGAGGAGAAAGAAAGGGAAAGGGCCCGGGCAGAGAGGGTCAGGTTGGAAGCAGAAGAAAGAGAAAGAATTAGAGCTGAACAAGACCAAAAGCGAGCGGAGGAGAAGGCAAGACTTGAAGCCGAAGAGAAGGCAGCTGCACGAGAGAGAGAGAGGAGGGAGGCAGAGGAGAGGGAGCGGATTGAGGAGGAAGAGAGGAGAGCAGCAGAGGAAAGGCAGAGAGCAAAGGCGGAGGAAGAAGAGAGAGCTAAGGTAGAAGAGCGAAACCGTAAGAAGCAGCTAGAAGAGGCAAGAAGCGAAGCACAGGACAAAAAGATCAAAGGGGAAAAGGTAGAAGAGAAAATAGAAGGGAAATGGGTCAATGAAAAGAAAGGACCAGAAGATAAGCCCCAGACAGCTGTCCAAACGACACAGGTACAGTAAACATTTTGCACCGAACGCGTGATGCCTGTGACTTGTGAGAAATGTAATGCACACCAAATTCGGGGCCCAGGCCGCGGTCCTGTAGCCCACATGCTTGATCGTTTGGCAAGCTGTTTGTGTTGTAGGCCGTGGCAAACTGCAAGCATGAAGCAATTGATTGATGGCTAAATAGCCAATCAACCAAATTTACTGAGCCAGCCAGAGAGAAATGTACTGCTCTGGGCTTGCTTGTTATGAACACCAGAAAAATGAATGAACCCAAAGATGGTCACTGTGGTGGTGCTGTGTTGACTTGTGATTCTGCATCTGCATCTAAACTCATTCCTTCTCACACCTGTACCTCTGTCCATAGGTCTACATGAGGCAAGAGCTTAACTCCCCACCTTACCCATGGGTTTGACATTTATAAAAAATTATAAACGTTGGGGTGGGAAACTGACAAAAAAGAATCATGGTCAGAAATAGCATCTTGGTTTTTTTTTTCTTTGTTGATTTTAGAGAGAGAGGAAGGGAGAAGGAAAGAGAGAGAGAACATTAATTGTCCGCCTCCTGCATGCCCCCCACTGGGGATTTGGCCCACAACCTGGGCATGTGTCCTGACCGGGAATCGAACCGGTGACCTCTTGGTGCATGGGTGGTGGCTCAACCACTGAGCCACATTGGCTGGGCCAGAAGTAGCATCTTAAGAAGGCAAATAGAAAATCCTCTAAATCAATTGATAATAAAGGAGGGAAAGGAGCCAGTTTAGACCTTTTTAAAAAAAAAAAAAAATGTCAAAACCATGATGGGCATCATGTAGACCTGAGCTTAATGTAAACTTGCAGAAAGCCAGTCATCTGGGGTGGCATCAGTTTATAATTAACTGGTGATGAAAAGCGTACATTTTGCTTCTTTCACTATCTGAATGACACACAGAAATGGACATAGGAAATGGGGCGGAAGAAGGGTGGAAATGGGGGTTGGGGGTGAGCTATAAAAGGGTGTTTTCTGTCTGCAAGGCTGCATTAAAAGCACTCTGCTTACCCACCACCTGCTTGCACACTCGCCTTCCAGAAAGAACTCTCTCACTAAGTGCCTTGTGCTGAAGTTGTCTTTCACTCCTGCTTGCTCCAAGGGCTCATGAACACAGCTCCCATCGAGAGGCAGGAACAAACGCACCAAACCACACACAAGGTTTGTAAACACGCCCAGGGAGCACCGCGTCCTGCTAGATACCAGTGAGCACAGGGGCCGGTGCACGGGAACAAATGGGAGTGGGAAGAAAATATCCCAGGCTGTTTACAACCACTGGCACGGGGGGCAATGTGAGCACTGACGGCAAGAGAGAAGCCAGCCTAAGCCACATGCCAAGTGACCGGAGCACCTTCTCACTCTAGTAAGAGCTAGAAAGGGCTTCTTTTAACTGAGTGACCTTACCATTCTTGAAAATGAAAAGGAAGAAGAAAAGGGGGCTAAAGTGCCACCTAAAAGAGAAAAGTCCCAAGAAGACAAGCCTGCCTTCAAAAAAGAAGAGGTAAATATTATTGGGAAATAACCTAATTAATCAGAAAGCATCAGAGAGCAGTGTTTCACGACATTTCAAGTCTGATGACCTCTAATGTTTTTCAAGCCATGACTCATGATTCATCGAATGGTGAAATCAACTTAGAGCATCTCAAAAGTAGTTAAATGTGTCAATCGGCATTTAAAAAATGAAACAGGATAGAAAATATCAGAGGGCATTATAGGCAGTAAGCACTGCATTGTGACATAAAGTATCTTTCTTGCTGTGGGTCACAGTCAAAAAGCTTGAAAAACACTCCTCTGATCAATCTTCCCTGCTTTCTATTCTTCTAAGTGCTTTTTTTTTTATCTCCTTGAGCCATTACTTTCATTTCCATCATGAAATATTTCCAACTGGCTTTGATTAATGATTTAACTTCTCAAAGGAAAAGCACCCCCCACACATCTCACTAGAAAATTTGATGAACGGAAGATGATATTTGCTTTTCAAAAGAACACTTTGGCCAAATGTTCTGCATTGCATTTCTGACGCACACACAGGAGCCGGTGCCAGGGTGTTTGACTGCAGGTAAGTAACCGGTGGATGGACCGGAGGCTGCCACAAAACGAATGTCACAATCTGGTGTCATCGAAATGCCACATCAGAAAGCCTGACTCTGTTTGCACCACTGTGCTTATGTTAGCCCCAAGTAATTGTGAAAATTGTAACAATATCTAATCAGTTCAAAGTACGTGAACATGGTAAAAGGAAATGATCAAAAGTGGACAGAGTTGAGTTACTGTGCCCGGGGACTGACCTGTAGCCATTGAGTGCCAACTCAGATGGGCTCTTGCTACATTGTGGCGAATATTAAGAAACAGGAAAAAATCCATAATTAGAAAATAGATAACCAGATTTAAATGACGAGGGTGGTCTTTCCTTAAGCATTCTTTTATAAGATCCATGTAAAAAAGCAAAAACCCCTAGTTCCTGTTACATTTATTTTGTTCCAGATGTATGTCCCTCCTTGTTTCTAGTAGAACTCGTGGTGGTTTGGGGTGAAAACCGAATGTGAACTCTGCCCATTTACAGGAAGGAGAAAGCATAAATGCTAATAACTGGGAAACCGAATTTGGCTCAAATGAGGCAGTTAAGGAAATGGTTGAACATGTGGGAAAACACTGTTCTCATTTTGTAACTGAACAACACAAATTCATCTACAAAAAAAAAAAAAAATGAAAGTTACCTCGGAACAAAACTCACACAGAAATGTCCCATGTGCGTTCTTCTCCAGCGCTAGCATTGCATGGTGAATGCATTTACAGAAAGAAGAAGGCATGGAATCGTAGCTTAGTGATTAAGTTTATGTTGGGAAGGGGGAGCTGGATTCTAGACTTTAACTCACTTCACTAAGAGATGGTTGGTTTCAGTGACCAAACATTGTGTGTCCATGCGCTGTGTCCTGAGCTGGACAGAGCCCAGCGGCGGTCATCCAGATCCTTCCTTTGCCTCCTGCCAGCTAAGACCCCGCTCAGCCACATCCCTGGTAGAAAGATTTCAGAGCGTCCTTGTTCCCAGTTTGCCCTCCAGCACATTCCCGTGTCCCAAAACTTTTGGCCTCTTTTTGATGCAAGGCCAGATTAACTCTTCTGCACAGGCTTTTAAAAAATCTGCCGTTCCTGTTTAAACATTGCATACATAAATTACTAGTTGAATGACTGGGTTTTCCCCCTCTCCAGCCAGCTCTGTGGTTGCTTTATATAGATGGCTTTAAATCATACTTTACATGATTTAGCTTTCTCCTTTTTTAAATTTCCTTTTCATTAAAAAAAAAAAAAATAGGAAAAAAGCCTTTTCTTTGAAGGAGCAATGCAAGATGGGTCAACCACGAGTAAACACAAACATCACGTAAACCCTCTTGGAGAAAACTTCCAGAAGTCACTCCCATGCCTTACAAAACACCTTCTTTCTCCCACTAACTCTTTTTTTTTTTTTTTTATGTAGAAAACATTTGATTTACTGTGGCCATGGATCACAGATGATCACCGACCTTGAAACTTAATGTAGCTTTTTTCTTTCTCCTCTTCAACTATAAAATGACTCCTTTGAGTTCTTCACCCTATAGCTTTCTCCCTCCCTCCACACCCTCCTCCTGCTTCTAAGAGAAAAACAGCTTCCAGGGAAGCTGTTCAGATTGTACTGAAACTGACATTCATGCATCTAGTCCAAATCTCCCCAGCATCCTGCATGTCAATCACCAGGGGATTTCAGGAAACCTGACTCCGAGGCTCTGGGGTGCAGTCTGAGCTTCCCCACGAGGTCTGTATTGTCCATGGACCAAACTTTCAGGAGCAAGGACATTCATGTGATATATATTGGATCCAAAGAAGGAGCTGAGGCTTCTGAGTCTAACAAAAGTGCATTAAACCTCATCTGAAAACAGTGGTAACTTGTACCACTTCTTGTCACTATTCTGGAATCAAATAATGCAAAACAATAAACTGTAAAGACTGACATCAAAGCCCTTTATGACCTGCTCACTTGACCTTTTAAAGGTCTCTCTGGCACAAGGTCATGTTGCTGGAATTCCTGCCCCATGGACACACGTGTTGTCCCATTGGATATCCCAACTCTCCAGTTTTATCCAAATGATGACATTTGGTGAGCCTTTCATATGTTAATGCTATTTGTCCATGAAGCACATGAACTTTTTCAGGATGCTTGGCTGCCCATTAAGCCATCAGATTTCCTAGATCTGACCTTGATCTAATGCTTTTCCCAAACGACTCAGAATCCCATGAGCTGGGGTAAATCTGCTATAGAATCCCGTCCACTGTGCTCTTTAAAATAAAATCTAAAGGCATTATGGAATTACTTTATTCATTTCCCCAAAAGAGAAAATAATTTGAAAACTCAAATGATCATGATTTCACTGGGAATTTTCCTAAGGAAGTCTTCCAAGGAGAATATAAGCATACTCTCCACCACAGCCTTTGCCAAAAATGGCAGAGTTTGGAAGAAACGGGAGAGGGTTCTTCTGTTGAGCACGTATTGTTTTACAAATCTATTTTACATACATTTTTGGTCAGTAAATCAGATAATGTATTTGGGGAGAATGGAAATATCTCTGACTCCAAAATAAGAGAAATTAGTTAAAGGGTATTTCATCTTTGCATACTCTTTCACAAACTGAGATTTGACTCAGAACTCGTTTCATGGGTTTTCTGAAATGGGACCCCTCTCACCTCCAAATTTGTATCTCCAGATACTTCTTAACCGAGATGTATAATCCAGTCCGTGGTGTCTGGGGCTATATCCAACAATGCTAGTCCAAGACAAGAAGAGACTCGTCTACGCCTGCCCGCCCGATGAATACCAATTTATGATCGGGCAAGGACAGCCACCAAGGATCCACAGCCAAGTTGTAAAACAAACCAGGAGCTCCCTTCTCTTCCCTGTAGCCCCCTCATGACAAATCGGAAAAGGAGGCAATGAAAGGATGAAGGATTAGGAATGGATCTAGCCTAACGTCCTCTTTTTATGTACATGGAGCCATCGTCCCAGAGAAGTTAGGTGACTTAATCAAAGTCACACAGCTAGTTTGTCAACAGCACTGGAACCAAACTTCAGGTTTCCTGACTTCCAGACAAAGCTCTCAGAGAAAACGGCGAATCAATAGCTCCTTTCTTTTTAGCATGCCCAAGGCACATCATATCCTAGGTGTAGACCCCTTGGGGAAAGATTCAAGTTGTAACTAATTAGGCCAACATGATAGTGGCCCATTAAATTACTACTGAATAGTCCATCTGCAGTCATTTAATCAAAGAAGGCAATCAGGGAAAAGACTATTGAAAGCTCATCAGTGAAGAGCAAAAAAATGTCCTCTGCTTAGTGAAACGTTCAGGGGGTATCTGAAGAATAGCTGGAAAGGGCTGAGTGACCAAGGAAGGAGAGACCATCTGCGCAGCACCTCAATTCTTATGGGTTTCTTTAAAACATTAGTCCTCTCTTTGTCTTAAAAAGAGCAATAATGGCCCTGGCCAGTTTTGCTCAGTGGTTAGAGCGTCGGCCTGCGGTCCAGAGAGACCCGGGTTCGGTTCCCGCTAAGGGCATATACCTTGGTTGCAGTTTGTCCCCAGTCCTGGTTGGTCGTGCGGGTGGCGACCACTCGATGTGTCCCTTTCACATCGATGTTTCTCTCTCTCTCTCTTCCTCTCTGTCCCTCCCACTCTATCTGAACAAAATATAGAAAAATGTCCTTGGGTGAGGGTAAAAAAAAAAAAAGAGCAATAATGAACCTCCCTGTTTTTACACTCATCTTTTAAGAATGGGGGAGAAGACATAGGCAAAGTAATTTGTCCTCCTTTACACCCCCAAAGCTATGTAAGTTCAGTTTCCCTTGAAATAATCTCTTATTTATCATGAGGAACTTGTAATAGGAAACCCAAAACATATTAAAGCTAATGCCTGTTCTTCATGTATGACTTTCTTCTGTCACCCACAAGCATCACAAAACCACTTCTGGAGACTAAATTATTACCTGCACTGGATGTCAAGGTAAACCCTGAAATTGTTCTCATTCCATTCTAACGTAGTGGTTTAGATTACTACAGACATGGTCCCATAGACCTCTGAGTCATCCCCTTGAAGGTAGGGCTATTATGTCTCCTGTCCTAGAGACCCTAGCTACTTATTTGACTAAGATACTGGGGTCATCCCCCTCTGACTTCAGCTAACTGGCTTGACAGATCTGGCTACCTGGTAGTTCCTCCTCTTTCCCCCTCAACACATTTTCCTTCATCCAAGAAGAAACCTGTCCAAGCAGCCCAGGCATTTTCCTATCGAGGCCTTCCTAATAATCGTCCTTCCCACTGAGAGCTGCAAACAGCCACTCAAGTGGAGTTCCAAGGACGTCATAGCTTCCCGTGGTAACACCTCCAGTGCGTTCACGAAGAAAGCCCCAGGTGAAATCAGGAATGATCTTGACTTCCTAAGACCGTGGTCAAGGTCTTTGCTCAGAGGCTGGAGAACCATAGCTCACGCTCTGAGAATGTCCTCTGACCCCATCTCTACCACAGCGTTCCACAGTGGTTTGTTTGGCTTCTGAGGCTTCTGGCTTCCTGACAACGTGAGGTCTCACTTGGTGATACCCATCAAACCCTAATAGGTTTCTTATTGTTATGTTTCTTCCTGATGTGTACTGTTGGTTAGATCAAAGATGAGAAGATTAAAAAAAACAAAGAGCCCAGAGAAGAAGTGAAGAGTTTCTTGGATGGAAAGAAGGGATTTACAGAAGTGAAATCGCAGAATGGAGAATTCATGACCCACAAACTTAAACACACCGAGAATACTTTCAGGTAAGATGTAGGGGCTAACAGTGAGTGTGTTCACATGTGAAAAAACAACAGTCTCCCTATCCTGTGCCTCTAGACAAAAAGTGCTAAACGGGCAACATGCTTCTGTTCTGAGGTCATTGGCCATTGTCTCAGAGATGTTCAGTCAGCAGGTCCGGCTATTCATCACTAACAGAGATGAGCAGTCATTGCTCAGGCAAAGTTTAATCTGCTTTTCCCATAGCTTAGCAACATAGATTATGCTTGGCATCCAAGCTTTTGTCCTTGACCTAATATTCTCACATAAAGTCAGTGTGTTAGGAAACATTACGCCTAGGATTAAATGTCATTGATTCATTCCTATATGGTCCAGACAACTTCATAGGAGAGCCTCTCAGTACCATTTTCAAGACTGTATTTTCTTAAGGTTGTAGATAAATATTGCGCAAAACTAGGATTCTTCTGTGGCCACATATTTGGGAAACGTTAGGTTAAATTAAGTTAATCAGATCCCTTTGCCACAGGACTTTGAAAGCACTTGATGTTAATTTGTATCGGGCATTTCTAAGAGGGAGGAAGAAGCCATCTGACTTATATTCCATCTAATGCCCTTTGGAAAACCCTCTTGTGTAGCTTCAGCTTCCCCTCCTCGCCCCGTTATGTTGAAAATCTGGGCAGCTGACTTTAGGGCAGCCAGAGAAGTATATGCAGGTACATTCTCGCCTCCAGACACATTGAACACTTAGCGCTCCCCACCAGGACTCAAGTTGCAGATGCCTGCCATGGACACCAGGCTACAGATTCTCTGGGCCCCACTCTTACCCAGACGTTCCCTCCTACCTCGGTGCCAAATTTCCACCTCTGCCATGTCACTGGCTGCTGCCCTAAATGTTCTGGAAGGGTTTGGGTCCCTGTAACGGATTTGCGTGCAGCCTTGCCTGCAGACCCTGTTTTTCTGAACACTTCAAATAAGAAGGTCCCCAAGTAAACACTGTGCAGAAATCAGACATGGCCCTGGCCAATTTGGCTCAGCTGTTAGAGCGTCAGCCCGCGGACCAGAGAGTCCCGAGTTCAGTTCCCACTAAGGGCATGTACCTCGGTTGCAGTTTGTCCCCGGCCCCAGTTGGGGTCTTGTGGGTGGCAGCCACTCAATGTGTCTCTCTCACACATCGATGTTTCTCTCTCTCTCTCTCTCTCTCTCTCTCTTTCTTTCCGTCTCTCCCTCCCGCTCTACATGAAGATAAATGCAAAAATGTCCTCAGGTGAGGATAAAAAAAGAAAAAGAAATCAGACATGGTCCTCACAACCAAACCTTTGTCACATACAGAAGCAAGCAGAGCTACTGGGATGGACATTTCCGGCTCCTCTAAGAGACTAAAATGGGCCAACATAATTGCCCCCAAACCATTTTTCCATACCAAACTTAGAGCAGAAACCCCCTAGTCACATTTATCCAATAGAAAGCCCAAATTGGCAAGAAAGTAGATGTGAAAAAGTAAGAGTTTATCAGGAATTCATAGAAAATCTAGAAAGCAAATAAGCTGAGCCCAAAGCTTGCTACAGTGTTCGTAGGCCAATGTTTCAAAGCCCGCGAATAGTATCAAGTTCATGAGAAGTGTTCAATGGATATTACCTAACAGTGCCAGTGTTTTATTGTTTGATAGTTTAAAATATGTTTTGCGAGAAGGAATACATTGTTGTTGCTGTTGTTAAGAGAAATAATGCTTTTTAAAAAATCTGTCAACATAAACAAGAGTGTGGTGATTGGGGGAGGAGGGGGTGGGTGGAGGTGGTAGAGGACATAGAGGGGATAAAAGTTGGTGGAAAAGTAAGTTACTTAAAAATGGGAAAAAAATAAAATATATAGGAAAACTTTAAAAAATCGTTCGGTAGAAAGTTTGGTTAACAATTAGCAAACTCACCAACCAGCTTCAGCCAAAGTTCAAATTAATGATTAACATGTCCATTGTGTGGAAATCCAGAGAGTTGGGTAACTCCAAAAGGAAAGTCAGCGAGGACGCCAACAGCCTGGGCACTGAGAACCCTTCAATGTGACTCTTTAATTTTTCCATCTTTGAGCAGGAAAACAATGACAGAAACAAGCTGTCAACCATAAAGGTTTTGTTGGCGGCCAGCATATGTTCATTTTAGTTTCAGTAGAAGTCGCTGATGGTGGGAGCAAAGATGCCTGGTTTTGTCCCATAAAAGTGAGGAGCTGGGGAGGAAGAGCCTCTGTTTAGATTAGCCTCGTGTCGAGGAACTTCACTGAAAACAAGCTGTGTTCTTGATGGTGAAATGGCTGGAGTTCATCTTGACTTAACACCCAGAGGAGCCCAGGAAAGCAGAGAGAACCTCCGGAGAGATGTCTTCTTATCCGTGCTGAGGCCACGCCCGAACGTCTGACACCACTCTTGTTCCTGTTCTGAGCATAACTCCTCTGTTCGATTTCATTACTGTCCCCTTGATAATAATGTTTTCTTACAACCAGTTTGTTTTCTCTAAGAGATGACATAAAAGATCTCCATTCAAGGAGCAAGTTTATAGAGAGAGATTATACCAAGGGTTTTCTTATAGACAGTACAAAACAAGGATTCATTTTGCTTCCTGTTTACTTTTGTGGTTGTGGGAATTAAAGTTTTTTTTCTGATTGCAGGACAGTTTTTACTTATTATAAAACATTGAGAAAATAGAAGTACAAAAATAAGTACCCGCCACCCAAAGATAACCATTAGTAACATTTTTTTGCAGATCTTTGCTGCGTGTACACGGAATAGATGTATATATACACACAGCATGTTATCTGTGTAGGTGTAATCATAAATCTACATTTTAAATGGATTTTTGCATTATACATAACAATGTATCTTAGCTAGCCTTCTATACCAGTGAATGTAAGTGTACGATTAATGATGCTAGAGTGTTCCACTGGTTGGAAGTATCATGATTATTTAACCAGTCCCTGAAGGTGGCATTTTGAATGTCCAAAATGAAGTCTGAGCGACATCTAGTGGAATCAAGAGAAGTTTCCACAAGGCATGTATTTTGCCCATCCAGTTGAACACCAACATGATGAACACAAAGAGAGCAAATGTCTCTGAAGATGGAAATACCTTAAATTAACCGAGAGAGCAGAATTCCTCTCTGAAGTCACAGGTCTATAAACCTATAAGACCCTGAAAGAACAACATCAAGTTTTAAGGGGCTGTCGAGCTTTAAATCCAAAAATAAAAGAGTTCATCTGTAACCATCAAGAACCTAACATAAGATTTCTAAAGTTTTTAATGTCAGCCCTTAGTAAGAAATAAATTTAACATCGTGACCCAGTGACACCTACATATATAACTGAAACTAACATGTCAAGAAATGGTCATTTCCCTTGCTCTATGCAATGCACTCTAATGGTTCCTAGTTCATTTTTTTTTAAAAAAATATTGATTACAGCCTACTGAATTGATCTGGTGACCTGCAGCTTGAAAAACATTGTTTTAAAGGACACAGTATGTTCAGAACTCCCTCGATGTTTTAAAAGCATGAGATGTACAGCCCTGGCCAGTTTGGCTCAGCGGTAGAGTGTCGACCTGCGGTCCCGAGAGGCCCGGGTTCGGTTCCCACTAAGGGCATGTACCTCAGTTGCAGTTTGTCCCCGGCCCTGGTTGGTCGTGCGGGTGGCAGCCACTCGATGTGTCCCTTTCACATCGATGTTTCTCTCTCTCTCTCTCTCTCTCTCTCTGTTCCTGTCTCTCCCTCCCACTCTACCAGAACAAAAAAGGAAAAATGTCCTCGGGTGAGGATAAAAAAAAAAAAGCCCTGGCCGGTTTGGTTCAGCAGTTAGAGCGTCAGCCTGCGGTCCTGAGAGACCCGGGTTCGGATCCCGCTAAGGGCGCGTACCTCGGTTGCAGTTTGTCCCCGGCCCTGGTCGGTTGTGTGGGTGGCAGCCACTCGATGTGTTCCTTTCACATCGATGTTTCTCTCTCTCTGTCTGTTCCTCTCTCTCCCTCCCACTCTATCTGAACAAAAAATGGAAAAATGTCCTCGGGTGAGGATAAAAAAAAAAAAAAAAGCATGAGATGTACACATAAGATGAACATTGGTAATTCTGTCATCTTGAACTCATTTTCTGTTGTTTTTTTAGTTTTTTTTATTAATTTATTTTTGTTACAGATGTTTCTTTTTTTTCTCCCCTTGACACCCTCCTCCCCGTCCCCCTCTCTGCCCCGCCCCCAGCTTTGTTGTCCATGTCCATGGTAACGTACACATGCATATAAGTTCTGTGGTTTATCTCTTCCCTCCCCCCACCACCCTCTCTCCTGAGGTTCATCAGTCTGTACCCTACTTCCATGTCTCTGGGTCTATTTTGTTCATCAGTTTGTTTTGTTCATTATATTCCACAAACAAGTGAGATCATGTGGTATTTGTCTTTCTCTGCTTGGTTTGTTTCACTTAGGATAATACTCTTGAACTCATTTTCTGTTTTATTCTCCTCTTGTTCCATAGCTAAAAACACTGCCATTCTCTACATGGGCTGCCTATGTTCAGGTCTAGTTAAGAATGCCTTCTTTACTTGGTCATCGGTATTTAAATAAGATTTCTTCTTTTTTATGGCTAAATAATATTCCACTGTAAGGATGTGCCACGTTTTCTTTACCCATCCATCCATCAGCAAACCAGGTTGTCTCCATAGCTTTCTTGGCTGTTGTAGAGGATACTGCAGTGAACACGAAGGTGCAGATACCTTTTGGGAAGTCGGTGTTTTCCTTTTCTTCAGATAAATGCCCAGAAGTGGAATTAATTGCAGGATCACTTAGTAGCTCTAGTTTTAATTTTTTGAGGCAACTCCCTACGGGTTTTCATAGTGGTTGCACCGTTTTACAATCCTAGCAACCGTGTCTGTGTGCCCCCATTGTCTAGCTGCGGAAACCCAGGTAAGTGGCAGAGCAGGGACTCGTATTCAGACCTGGAGATTCCAGGTGGGCCCAGCCTGCCCCTTGGGCTGGTAAGAGGATCTAGTGTCTAATGACAGTGGAGATTTCTGTGTGGGAGGCAAAGCCCGCGGACCCCACGCCCTCCCTCCAGGAGAGGCTGCAAGGCGGACGAGTGTCCAACTCTTTTGCATCCTTCTCCTCCCCCACCAGCCGACCTGGAGGGAGGGCCAGTGAGGCCAAGGAGGCCGAAGGGGCTCCCCAGGTGGAGGCGGGCAAGCGCCTGGAGGAGCTGCGCCGCCGTCGAGGGGAAACTGAGAGCGAAGAGTTTGAGAAGCTCAAACAGAAGCAGCAGGAGGCAGCCCAGGAGCTGGAGGAGCTGAAGAAGAAGAGGGAGGAGCGAAGGAAGGTCCTGGAGGAGGAGGAGCAGAGGAGGAAGCAGGAGGAAGCAGAGCGAAAAGTCAGAGAGGAGGTAAGCAGGGCGCAGCCTGCCCAGCCGTGGGCACCCCAGCTTCCCCAAGTCCCCGAATTCATTCTCTGGTGACCCCTGTGGCCCAGGAAAGCATTTCTTCCCTGGTGAAATGCAGCTGCTCGTTTGAGCGTGGACTCTTACAAATACATCTTAAGAATAATGGACTTACTATGTGCTAGGCATGGTTCCTAAGCCTCTATATACATACTAATTGATCCAGTTCTCATAAGAACAGGTAGTGTTATCCCCATTTTACAGATGGGGAAACTGAGGCACAGAAAGGTGGGGGTTTTTTGTTTGTTTTTTAATTTTCCCCAAGTCCCCCTTGTCTGAGTCCATCACCCTATCCTGCCCCTCAGTAAAGAACAGTGGACAGTAGAGAAGCATATAAAGGTCTGCACATTCATTACAAGAACCAAGAGTCACATGATGGTTGTTTTTTGATATTTGAAGAGTTTTTACAGAGATTTTTAAAAATAGGTTTTGGGCATTTTTAGTGGGAGAGTCTCAATTTTCACAGTCAGGGGACAGTGTGTGCTTTGTTCGTTACTGTTTACCCAGACACAAACACAGCGCCAGGCATGTAGTAGGGACCCAATAATTATGAGCAGATGAATTTGTTCTCTATTTTAAGACAGAACTAAAAACAACAAATAAAGTCATCAAAAGGCTGATTTTGAAAACTGAAAAAATGCTTAACCACCTACAACTGATATTGCTACTTTTTACAAGGTGCATTCTTTTCTTTCATCCTGAGGTGTATTATTATTATTCTCATTTTCTGGACAAAGAAATGGGAATCCAATAGTTTTGTTGTCAGTGGGGCGCCCTCTGTGTTCCCATCAGTTGCCAGTGGAAGTGGGCTTCTTGGGGTGCTGCTGGAATAAGAATTTCCGGAGACCCCCATGGGAGGATGAGGTATCGTGGAAAGTTTTATTTCTGTGGAATTAAACCCCTGAGTTTCCAAGGTCCCATCTCCCTCCATCCCACCAAGGCAAAGTCCCATTTCATCTTCAGCAGATCTAGGATTAACGCCAGGTCCAGGGTCTCCGCTCCATGTTTACACAGTCCCGCCCCCGTCAGGCTAGCTGAGCTGGTGTTCCCCACTGCAGTCCACTGCATGTAGCTGTGGCCCACGTGGCTTCTAGGGCTACATGGCTGTGGAGGGGACAGAGGTGAGTGCAAAGAAATAAGAGTGAAGCAGGAGAAACGAGAGAATTCCTTTGTCTTGGGGTTTTAGCCTAAAACTCTGCACACTTACACTGGCTCCATCCTCTAGCCAATTGTTTTTGTTTCCAGGTTAGACTGACAGGCAAGCATCTTCCCTGTGTCACCCCAACTTCACTGTACATGCATCCATCTTCCCCTTTGTCCGGTCCCAGCCCCCCAGTGATTTACAGGGAACGGACCCATGGTTCCCTGTGAAGCGTGTAATTGCAGCTCCCTGGTGAAGCTGCCCCGATGACCATGCTTAGAATGTCTGGCCTTCCCTTTTCTCCTTTACTATTATTAATGTTAATAATTAGCAAATTTCAACAGTGACAGTTTGAGTGACTTGTGTGAAGTCATTTGACTGATAAGTGATAGAATCTATTGGGAGCCAGCTTTCCCAACGCAGTCTGGAGCTCTTCCCACTAATCTTGGGGAACAGTGGTCTCCCATCATTCAAAAGATGCAAAAAGATTTCAGAGGACTTCCTGACTTGGATCCTATATAAACATTCCCTAAATTGTGTGGAAATTTTGGATTAATGATTCCAACATCCCTTCCAAGCCCAGCTGTCAATGAGTCAAGGATCTCTGGCTGGAAAGTAGTCAGGATGAAAGAGTTTTAGAACCAGACACACCTGGGCTTGTAGTCTAACAGCCGCTTGCAAGCTGGGACCTTGGGGAAATTACTGGATGACTCTGAGATTTCTTTTCCTTGTCTGTGAAATACCTACTTTCAGGATTGTTGTGATGAGTAAACAGATCATTGTATTCACAGTGCCTGGTGAAGACATAATAGGCACTCGGGAAGTGGGGCTCATCTCATTGTCGTTACTATTTAGAGGAGTGTTCCAATGAAGGCAGCATGGATTCTTAGAGCTGAATTGGAGATTATTTGATCTAACCTCCTCCCAGTAAAAGTAGACTGGATGGCATAAAAGCAGCAGGCAGTATTTCTCACAGTTCTGGAAGCTGAGAAGAACAAGGCATGCAGCCTCTGTGTCTGGTGAGGAGGATGCCTCCCGGTCCAGAGATGGCCATTTTCTTGCTGTCCCCTTACGTGGTGGAGGAGCGAGGGAGCTCCCTGTGGTCTTTTTATAAAGGCACGAATCCCATTCATGAAGGCTCCACCCTCGTGATCTACTCACCTGTTAATATCATCCCACGGAGGGTAGGATTTCAACCTGTGAATTTTGGAGAGACACAAACATTTAGTCTACAACACACAGGATCCTTCTGCAGCATCCTCTAACAGAGAGAGAAACATAAATTCTCTGCTTGAGAACATCCAGTGATAAAGACCTCACAATTTGAAAGTGACAAAAGACAACATAAACCCCTCAAAATCGTTCACAGGGGATGTGCAACTTAATCAGAGCTCGGGAGTTTTTGCCTGAGAGAGAAGCAGGGACCAGTATTTCAGGCCAGGAATGAAGGCACAGAGGGCTTGATGAGACAGGTTGTGAATATCTGTGATCTCACCTCTATGGTGCAATATCTACCTCGTTTCAGGTTTATTAAATCATCTAGAATAATCTACTCAGTTGAGGTGGGGACAACTATAAAATCATCTCTTGTATAATTTGGCAAATGTAGTACAATAGATTTACATCACTTCGCACATAAGTTATCTCCCTTGACTTCACAGAAGAGACACTTATACTGATGTCACGTTTTCAGAAGTGGGAGGTCAGTGTTAAGGGACTGGACAGGATGATGATAGTGGTGATAATCATACCGAGCCCTTGTCTAAGCATGTTACAGGGGCTCATTAAAGCCCTATTCAGTGGGTTTTATTATCATCCCCACTTTACAGATGAAGAGACTGAGGCACAGAGCAGAGAAGGAATGTGGTCAAGGTCGCACAGTTGGGAAGTGGCAGCTTCCACTTGCGGGCTCAGCAGCATCCACTCTGGAACCCGGCTCTTTGTCCTCTGGGCCTGTGCTCTTTCTTCTCCAGCACGCATTCCCCCAGGCTAGAGGCTGACCTTGATGTCCTTGTTACTCACTCCTTCCCTCCAGGAAGAGAAGAGGAGGCTAAAGGAAGAGATTGAAAGGCGGAGGGCAGAAGCTGCTGAGAAACGGCAGAAGATTCCAGAAGACGGCTTATCCGATGACAAGAAGCCATTTAAGTGTTTCACTCCTAAAGGTTCATCTCTCAAGGTATTCGCCCCCTCCCCCGCAGAAATCCTTCTTACAATACCTCTACTATAACATCTTAGAAACGTGATTTTTGCCTCTTACTTAGCTATTGATTATTCAACGCCTTTGCTTCGCCTTCTGCTCCTTCTTTCAGCCATGTCACAGCTTTTCTTTGTTTTCAACATGTGCAAAGGAGAGAAAGTGGGAAAATTTGTGTCTGTTGTTTATTGGATGCTTTGGGACCTTAAAAAGACAATCAGTGGGTGCTGGCCGGTTTGGCTCAGCGGTTAGAGCGTTGGCCTGTGGACCAGGGAGTTCGGGTTACATTCCGGGCCCGGTTGGTATCAGGCGGGTGGCAACCAATGGATGTGTCTCTCTCACATCAATGTTTCTAACTCTCTCTCTCTCTCTCTCTCTCCCTCCCCCTCCCACTCTGTCTGAAGATAAATGTAAAAATATCCTCAGGTGAGGATTAAAAAAACACAAAGACGATCAGCGATTATCTCTGGATCTCACTGACCTGTGCTCCCCAACTGCCTTATTGCTTTGAACCCTTGAAAAGAGAAACATTTAGCCCTGGCGGGTTTGGCTCAGCGGTTGGAGCGTCGGCCTGCGGTCCAGAGAGACCCGGGTTCGGTTCCCGCTAAGGGCACGTACCTCAGTTGCAGTTTGTCCCCGGCCCTGGTTGGTCGTGCGGGTGGCAGCCACTCGATGTGTCCCTTCGCATCGATGTTTCTCTCTCTCTCTCTTCCTCTCTCTCCCTCCCGCTCTATCTGAACAACAACAAAAAAAAAAGTCCTCGGGTGAGGATAAAAAAAAAAAAAAAAAGAAAGAAAAGAGAAACATTTATAAAATGGGCAGATATATCATAAAAGTTCTGCTGCTCTTCATACTCGCCGATCATTTTTCCTTTGTCATTATTAAAAGCAGGGCAGCTGACACTGGCTGGTTTGGCTCAGCGGTTGGAGTGTTGGCCTGTGGACCAGAGTCCCGGGTTCGGTTCCCGCTAGGGGCACACACCAAAAAAAAAAAAAAATCAGGGCAGCTGGAAATGGTACTGTTCGAATTTGAAAGCTGCGATGGGGAGGAGAGGAAATGTGACCTGGAAGGGCCCTCTGCCAGGATGTTTGGTCCTGGTGCTGCCTTCACGGAGCCCAGCTCCTGATGGACGTCAGACAGAGTGCATAGGAGAGAATGGCAGGAAACACCGACGTAGGGGAATGATGAATGGTTGAGATGGGAAAAGAGCACAGACTCAAGAAAGTACTATTGTCTATATCCAATTTGCCATTATTTTCAAATACATGTTTTTTGTCGGGAGGGTTAGCATGCATTGAGCTCCTGGCTCTCTTAATGGACTCTATAAGTATTTTGTTGAATAGATATATGAATGAGTGACTCTTCAGAGATAGGAACTTTTAATATTTTTGTTTCACCTTCATTTCCATCAACCTAGTGAGGCTGTGAAGCATTGACAATGGGCAAAGCCCGCACAGAACCGCAGGCAGGCTCCAGCTGGTTAACGTGTGTGTGTGTGTATCTCTGAATGTTACATATTACAGTTATTACCTGTTTCACGGGGAAATCAGCATGTTTTATCCCTAAATCACTTCCCTGACCCTTTTTGATGATCTGGGTCCTGCCATACCTCTGATACGTCTCAAAGAAACAACTTATGGTCAAGGTCTGCTTGAAGTAGAATCCAAACTAAGCCACAGGGGGATTTTATTATTAATATTGGACATTTAGAACGTACCTTATGAGTGCTATGTATTAATTATGAGGGAGAGAAACGCACAGCAAGGTGCCCGCCCCAATATAGTTGCCTTGGGGGAATTCAAGAATTACAAACCCAATGCAGACACCACGGAAGTGAGATCTCTGGGCCCACAGAACGAGGAGAGAGTGGCTTTCTAGTGTAGGTGAGCTTTATTTCTAGACACCAAAATTTGAATTTCACAGAATTTTTCTGTCACAAAATATTAGTCTTCTTTGGAATTTTTCCAACCATTTAACAATATAAAGCATTCTTAGTTTGAGGGCTATGTGATAAACAACTGTTCCCTGGCCAGTGTGGCCCAGTTGGTTGAGCATCATCTCATGCGCTGAAAGGTCACTAGTTCGATTCCCAGTCAGGGCACATGCCCAGGTTATGGGATCCCCCGTAGGGGTGTGTACGGGAGGCAACCAATTGATACTGGTAGAGTGGGCTTCTTGGGGTGCTGTGGGAATAAGAGTTTCCTGAGGCCCCCACAGGAGGATGAAGTATCGTGGAAAGCTTTATTGATGAGGTAGCATCAAGGGAGTTCTCCTTTAGGGTCCTGTCTCCCTCCATCCTGCCATTGTATCTTCAGCAGAGCTAGGATTAAGGCCTCTGCCCAGAGTTTTCATTCCATGTTGAAGGACAGTCCAGTCCAGCATCTGGCTAGCTTAGCTCATGTTCCCAGCTGTGGTCCATTGCGTATGGGGTCCACATGGCCATGGGCCATGCAACGGCTTAAGGCCACGTGGGGGGCTAGCATGGGTCCAGGAACAAGCACATATTAAAAAGGAGGAGTGAAGCAAGAGGAACAAGAGAGAGAAAGTTTCTTTGTTTGAGGATTTTGACTAGGAGCTTATCCAATTACTCTTTCAGGACTTTTCACACTTGCAGTGGCTCCACCCCTTCTAGCTAATTATCTCTGTCCTAGATTAGATTGACAGACAAGCATCTTCCCTGCATCACCCCAACTTCACTGTGCATGAGTCCATCTTCCCCTTTGTTGGATCCCTTCCCCCAGTGATCTGCAGGGAATGGACCAGTGGTTCTCTGGGGAGTGTAAAGTTGCACCTTCCTGATGAAGCTGCCCAGATGACCATGGTTATAATGTTTGGTCTTCCCTTTGCTCTTTTCCTATTTTAATATTGATAACTAGCTAATTACAACAGTAACAGTTTTAGAACTCAGTTTCATGTTCTACAATTGAATTCCTGCAACTATTGATACTCTTGGCCCTGCAACTTTTATAATTGGTCACAAGTTAACATTCTAGAATGCCAGTGGGAGGAAAAACAGTTCATATTTGACCTCAAAATATTATCCACTAGTGTATTTTGTTAATTCTCATAACTTCTGTTCCTTGTCTGGGAAACCCTGAACCTGGTTTATGTTAATTATGTTAGCAGTGATGTTTTGATTACATTTACAGTGATGCTTTTTCTTACATAATACATGCAAAGAATAAATTTTAAGTAAATTAAATTTAAAATTTTGTTTTTATTGTTATTGTTTTCATATATTGGTGGTGGAGGGAGTGTGGAGTAAGGAGTATGTCCATTTCTAAAACTGATAGTATGCTTTTTCTCTGAGTTTTATCTAGACAACACTGCTACCTCTTGGTCTTCAGAAGAACCAATTTTCCTCATTAAACTTACACAGAACATTTAATTTACAAATTTAGTACAAACTGTTACATTTCCTAGAGTCATTAAGTTCAGGAATTTTCCAACAAGAATGCATAGTAGCCCTGGCCAGTTTTGCTCAGTGGTTAGAGCTTTGGCCTGTGGACCAGAGAGTCAAGGGTTCGGTTCCCACTAGGGGCACGTACCTCGGTTACAGTTTGTCCCCGGCCTCAGTTGGGGTTGTGTGGGTAGCAGCCAGTCGATGTGTCTCTCTCACATCAATGTTTCTCTCTCTCTTCCCCCCTTTCTCCCTCCCACTCTATCTGAAGATAAATGCAAAAAAATGTCCTCGAGTGAGAGGACATAGTAGATAGATGGTGAGACCTGACAAAATGTGGTAATGAGGTCAAGCTACATTAAATACTGTAGATATAAAAGGAGAAGTTGGAATCTGAGGGCCTCTCTAATTTGAATGAATGTGATGGCCAAGGTTAACAAGATGATCCCTGACTCTGAATGATGCTGCAAGTGCTACAAAGAACAAGTCACCTCTGCCACCTCCCTCCACTCTGCCTCTGCCACCACCACCCCAACACTGAACGTTTCTCCATTCAGTGGTCCCACCACTCTGCATGCCTCTTGGTTCCCTAAATGTTTGCTCTGCTAGAAATGTCCTCTGCCCTCTAACTCATGCAATCCCACCCTCCCTTTCATAAGCCCATTTATAAAACTCCATAAATGCCAAACTACAGATCTCAGCTCAGATATCGAAATGTCTGAAAAGCCTTCTCCTGCTCCCCCAGGTGGTCACTTTCCCCATAGCCACAGCACTGTCTTGTCTTTAATGTGGTACCAGCCACTGAATTCTAAAAATTGTATTTCTATGTTCTACTCGTCTCCCCTACTAAGATATGTTCTCTTTAGAGAACCTAATACATCGCTGGGTGTTCAACTTTATATAGCAGGTACTCACATAATTTATTGATTGGTTGTTGGACTGACAAGCTGACAAGGTTAATAGTGATAGGATGGATGGATGGATGGATGGATGGATGGATGGATGGATGGACGGATGGACGGATAGACAGATGGATGGATAATATTCAGAGTTCCCGTGCATTGTTTCAATGTATTTAACTTTATTCAATTGGGAAATTTTTCTCCAGAAATACACTTCTAAGTTTACATTAAATCAGAAAAAAAAAAAAAAGATTAAAGACCCTTTACATCCCATAATCTCAGGGACAACTATCGTACTTTCTTGCATAAGGTTTTATTTTGCTTTTATTTTTGTAAGAAATCATTATTATCCAACTGGTATTAGGAGTGAAGCATGTTTTCCGAAAAGCTTAAGGGTATTTATTAACAGTCCACAAGTCCCAGGTCAGTCCACCAGAGTCTCAGGACACTCCAGGGGACACTCCAGGGGACACTCCGCCACACCAGCCTGTGCTACGTGTAGCCTGGCAGACTCCTTGGCCGCCCTGCACAGGACCTGTGCTCCGCACATGCAGTTATATGCAAAAAGGTTTCAGTGTTTGCTCAGCCTGATGCGTGATGCGTGGCCGGGACTATTTCCAGCCTGTAGCTGGGTATCATAGGAGTCAACAGATATTTGCTGACTTCTAAAGAACATCTGGATTTGAGAGGTGCAGTTTCAGTAGAATATACAGTTTGATTTAGTAGTTTTAGTTTTAGCAAAAAGAAGTTTCTGGCTTAAAAAAAAAAAGAATTTATTAAAGACTAATAAAGGATATACACTAAAGCCCATCTAGTGCACATCCACTGCAGTTTCTCTGAGCTTATTTCCTGCTCCCCACTTGAGCTGGCGGGGGCTTCGTGGGAGGCTTCGTGCCCATCTTCTGCTTTCAGGGCAAATTGAGTTCAGCCACAGGCATGGCAGCTATCAAGTTAGGAAACCACTAAGTGGTAACAGAATAGTTCACAGTTCCTGGTTATCTTTCTTTTTTTTTTTCCTTTTTTTTTTTTTTTCTTGTATGTGCCCCCAGTGGGAACCGAACCCGGGACTCTCTGGTCCGCAGGCCGACGCTCCAACTGCTGAGCCAAACCGGCCAGGGCTTGGTTATCCTTCTTATTTGATCCTATTCCATACCAAATATATAGTCAAAACAGTACATGTATACTCATACAAACATGTCCTAAAGGGTAACAGCATGTATTGTTTTTTTTCCTTAATCCTCACCCAAGGAGGAGGATACTTTTACATTTATCTTGGGAGGGAGTGAAGAAGGGGGAGAGAGAGAGAGAGAGAAATGTAAGAGAGACACATCGAGTGGCTGCCTCCCGCACGACCCCAATGGGGCCAGGAACTAACCGCAACCGAGGTACATGCCCTTGACCGGAATTGAACCTGGGACTCTTTGGTCTGCAGACCAACGCTCTAACCGCTGAGTCAAACCAGCCAGGGCAATAGCATGTTTTTTTGAAAAAAATTGCCGCCAAGAGAGTAGATCTTAAAAGTTCTCATCATACACACAAAAAATTTGTCAGGTGATGGATATTAACTAGACTTAGTGTAGTGATCATTTTGCAGTATATTCAAATAGTGAATTGTTGTGTTGTACCTGAAACTAACATAATGTCATATATCAATTACACCTCAATAAAGAAATAAGTAGGAAAACTTTTAAAGTATGCCAGGAAGGAAAAAAAAAATGACTGCTGTAGTCTTGAAATGTAATTACTTTGCCATTGATTTGAAATATTTCAAAGGCATTTTTATTCCATTTCTGTCTAGTCTTTAATTTGCTTCCAGGACTTGGTATTTCTCTACACACTTTCTGTCTGTCCTCTGCTAAACTTACCTTCATCTCCCGACTCTCGTTGTCCAATCCCTCACACGTCGTTTTCCTGTCCGGCAGAGGTGCTCCGCAGCACCCTCAACCCTTTGACACCCTTGGGTGCTTTTCTCTGCCAGGCTCAGGGAGGACAGTGGTGTGGGGTGGGAAACCGCGTTTATGAGATAAAAATATTAACTGGTGTTGTTTTTTCTTTAATTCCTAGATAGAAGAGCGTGCAGAATTCTTGAATAAGTCTGTGCAGAAAAGGTAAACATGGTTGATCGTTCACTTGAGAATCATCAGCCATTATATGTATGGAAAATTTTTCTTTCACATTTTTATGTATGTCTGTATGTGTGTGTTTATTTACTTAACAGTGGTGTCAAATCAACTCATCAAGCGGCAGTTGTCTCCAAGATTGACAGCAGACTAGAGCAGTACACCAGTGCCATTGAGGTGAGAGATGTCCTCAGGTTACGGTCAAACAGAAACCCACACGGATTTTATAAACGATCATAGAAACACTTAGGACAATAAGCAAGTCTAACCACCACGTTAGTCTTAGAACATCAGTAATGCTTTATTATACTTTGAACTAGTCATAGAGAAGAACAGTAATAAAGGTAAACTATAAAAGGGTTTTAAATAAATTGATGTTTACTACTTTCAGCCTGAGTATTCTTTAATGAAGGTCTTATTCTTTTAATGAATAGGTCTATTGATATTCAACTATATTATTTATATATTAGTAAGTATATCTTCTAATATTACTTCCTTATGAAATATGTTCCCATATGTAGTTTAAACAGGTCCTGTATAACTTTGGTTAATCCTCTTTTGTCTATAAAAACTTTTATTGTCAAATAAAAGTAGCAGTATAAGTGAATATAAGATGATTGCCAGCTAGAGTTTAATCACCATGAATTTCAAATTGATTATTTTATACTTGAAGGACCATAGTTTTATGCTCCAAAATTTTTTCCAAAAAATTGACCAAGGGGTCCTACCCTATTTAGAAATAATGTATATTTCCAAGCACCCAAGCACTAAGAAGGTAGGGGGCCATTAATCAAGTTGTGATCTTGATTTTCTCTCCTTTGTGTAGACTTTAGTCAATGATCTTAACCACCTTCTATGTCAGAACACCTGCTATGAAGTAATTGGATCAGTTTGGTTTTATTTTCTCCTCTCCTTTGTACTTAGAGTGGAGATAAGTGTAAAATAATTCACAATCAAATAAATTATAAAAGGAAATAAGAGAGAGATCGGAATGATTTATCAAATGCCTAACCAAGTCCTAATACTCAAAAGGTGGTTTTCACAAGATGAAATGGCCACTAAAACATAAGACAAATTGCAGATAGTTATTTTCTGTGGTTAAATTAATTGTGGCTCTAATAGGGTTAATGAAGCCAGGATGGCTTCAGCCTTTCCATGGCCCATTGATGGTGCCACTCACCACGACTGACCACCTTGACCACACATGCCACAGCCACAAAGCAGGACCAGGCGGGACATTTCTGGGCATGCCCATCACTACTGCTGGAAAAGCATCTCAAATGCACACTTTGCTTCCTTACATCCATTCTATCCTCCTTCCAGTCTGTCCTCCATGCAGTGGTTTCTCACTCTTTCGATCCTTTAGCTTAGCACGGCCCTGTCTTCAGTCCCTTGCGTATGCTGTCGCCTCTGCATGGAATAGTGTCTGTGCCTTCTTTCACGTGGCCACTTCCAAGTCTCTCACTGACCTGGCTTTAAATGTTACTTCCTCAGAGTAGCCTTCTTTGCGCCCCTAAATTAAGTATTATTCCCCTATTGTGTGCTCTCTTGGCATGCTTTATAACACTACATTTATCTTTCATAACACGTTACAATATGAAATAAGTTCTTTATTATCAGTTACTATCTTTCTCTCCTATTAAAATGTCAGTCCACTGCAGCTTACAGAGCAGACTGTATTGTTTTGGGTACCACTATATCCCCAGAGCCTAGACACTGCCCTTGGCTATCTGTTGCAGAAATGAAGTCGAATATCACTTTAATGATAAATGGCATCCCAATTAAAAGCACATTTCATTTTCGAAAGACCCTCTGATCTAGATCTTAGGGCTTGTTTTGGGGGGATCCATGCCATCAGAATCCAGTTTTACAACAGAAATTATGACTCTCATTTTTGGTGATGGCATTGACACAATGACTCTTTTAAACAATACTGTTGAGGAGGACAGTATTTTACAAGAACAAACTTAGCACGAATCCTAAAGATAATTCACACACTTCAGGGAACAAAAACTGCAAAACCTACAAAGCCAGCAGCCTCCGATCTGCCCGTTCCTGCCGAAGGCGTTCGCAACATCAAGAGCATGTGGGAGAAAGGGAACGTGTTTTCGTCCCCGACCACCTCAGGAACACCAAACAAGGTGAGCTTAGGAGTTCTGGCTTTTCATTTTGGAGGGTGGATGTTTGTCCTTTTTTTTTTTCTTTCTTCTTTTTTTGTAACCACACTAGCTAATTATAAAAGCCACGGGGAAGGTGTAATTCTTACTTTCTTTTATAACAACTGCAAAAGCAAGCTTGGAGATGCTAGACTGTGTACCAGGCTCTGGCCACAGTCCTCTAAATAGAGTTCCTGAAATTAATCATCAACCTTGGCGATGGGGGGAGGGAGGTGCAGAGGCAAACAAACCAGATATTATTCTTTAAATATCAAGTTTAAGGTTCGTTTTACTCAAAATAGTCATTATAACGAACAATCACTAATTGGTGTTATGGAATGGTTACATGAAATAACATGTAATGGTGTTTGGAGGTGGCTTTGAAGATTTCTTTCCAGGTAAAGTTTGTGTTTTTCTTTAATATCGGATGACTGCCTCCTTACAGGAAACTGCAGGCTTGAAGGTGGGGGTTTCCAGCCGCATCAATGAATGGCTAACTAAAACCCCGGACGGAAACAGGTCACCTGCTCCCAAACCTTCTGTAAGTAGCTTCTTGTTTTTCTGCATCGCTTTGCTCTCCCAGCTCCCCGCAGGAGGACGCAGGCTGCCGGTCTGTGTGCCTGGGAAGGACGTTGCTCCTGTTCTTGGCTGTCGCTGCTGAGCAACGAACAAGGAGGGTTCAGAGTAGAGAACAGTCCGGAGCAGCTGCACCATAATTGCCCGGAGGGTAGCAGCTAGCCAGAATGCTAGCTTACATTTACACCCTTAACCGGTCTGCGTGTTTAGCTCCTGTTCTATAAACTACAGCTAGGAAGTGGAAAATGAAAATGTCAAATTACCTCGTCCACTTTTCTGTCGCGAGCACCCCTTAACTTATTCCTCAAAGAAAGTGTATGTTGGCTATTTTGAACTCATATTTTCTAATTTGCCTAATTTCTGGAACGTAACACAAAAATACCGTTTTTAGGTAGTTGTTGAAGTAATTGCCATAATTTTTTTTTGTCAACACCTTCAAAGAAAAGCCATTAAAAAAAAAAACAGTAAAATTTGAAACTGTAAAAACTGGTTATAAATGTTATTGTTGGAATTCTAATTTTTTCTTATTTATTAAGTGTGGCTATCTTACTATAAAAATATACTTTTAACCTTTTCATTGAATAGATATGATAATTGCCTTGCATTTATCACTATGATTTAAAAAAAAAACAAAAAAAAACACCTTATTAAGCTCCTTCCTGTATATTGGAGAGCCTTTCCTGTTGTCAACAGGAAAGACTTTTCTGTCTTTCCTGTTTCCTGAAGAAGCAGAGACTCACTGTCATGACTAGCCCCTCCCAGAGTTAGAAGAAAGGCCTTCCAAATCCTAAACCTCTGCGCCATTGAGCATTTAATTGCATCCATTGACTCCATATTGAATCTCCAAAGTCACTCAAGTTTATCAATTCTCTACTTTGAGAAGAAAAATTGGAAATATTTTCTACCCTTCTTGGGTGTGGCTCCTTATAGTTGCCTAATTAATACTCAGCCCAGAATTTTTGCATAAGGGCTCACGTGAGGTATAAAACTATTGTAAACCCAATTTATAGTAGGAAAGTCTTTATATATTGAAAAAATATACATTTTCCCCCTCTCCCAGTCGATACAGGAAAGGGAACCTATAAAAAGAGACAGTCGAGGCCAGGGATCGTACCCACAAGGTATGTGTTCTTGACTGCCTCGAGTTTTCCCAGCACCCACGGTGACATACAGAGTAGAAAATACTTTTTTAATGGCAATTTTGTGGCTCCAGACCAGTGATTATTAATCCTTTGTAATTATGGAGCCTTCTGAAACCCTAATGAAATCTGAGGACCTTCTCCCCTAACACATGCGTGTCACTCAGGTTCCGGAAGCACGTGGACCCACCCACGATCTCTCAAATCAGCAAAGACAAAGAGAGGGAGGCACCGTTCCTCTTTGACGAATGTGCCACATTGCGAGGGAACGTGGTCGCTTTTACACGTTTATTATATTTGTGACCTATTTCATTTCTACACCAGATTTTACCAAGCCTCTCATCGTCTGTGTCATCCGAACAGGAGGGTTATAAGTTCAATTCAGTTATTAGAATAGATATATGTCACGGTTTCCACAAAAAGCCTTATTCTCTGGGGTAACTGAGAGCCCCCTAGAAAGGGCAGGACAAAAAGGCATTACAGAGAAATTAGAAAATCCTTGCCTGCTTTACCTACTGGTTAGTAAGGAAGTTGCTGGCCCTTCTATGAGAGGGTGGAAGGAAAAGAAAAGAAAAATGTGGCAATTCATGCAGGTTATAGTGATCCCTTTTCCCATGACCCATGGGGCTTTGCAGACTCGGGGGACTTCCTGAGTGAAAGCCAGATTGGAAGAAAGCAATATGTAAGTGCTGTTGTGAGTGAAAAGCTAGTGTGAGTGTACTTTATATCAACATTAGCGTTGTGCCCAGTTCAGGGGTGACAGCCAGCTCTTGTCAAGGTATGAATAGCAACACGGCAGTTGCTTTGGGAAAGAACATGACCTGGCGCCCAGGAAGGCAGGAGGGTAACTCATTGACACTATGGATCCAGCAAGAAAAAGGTCACATTTCCAGCTGCAGAGAGAGCTAGAAGGGCCCTGCAGATGCATAACACGGGGGACAAAGGTTAGGTCCAGGAAGGCCGCTTGGTAAGACAGGTCAAGCGAGGATCTTGCCCAAGTCTTATCAGGGGTCTCACACTGCGCCTGCAGTGAAGATCTGTGTAGTTTGGCCCACACCATTGTGCTTTCTTTTCCTTTAAAAAATTATTCATTTGACCCAGCCGATGTGGCTCAGTGGTTGAGCATCGACCCATGCACCAAGAGGTTGCCGGTTCGATTCCCAATCAAGGCACATGCCCAGGTTGTGGGCCAAATCCCAGTGAGGGGCATGCAGGAGGCGACCAATCGATGTTCTCTCTCATTGATGTTTCCATCTCTCTCTCCCTCTCCCTTCCTCCCTCTCTAAAACCAATAAAGAAAAAAAAAATTTTTTAATTATACATTTGAACACATTTTTGAGGCGTAGAGGTGTGTACTCCTGAATTTGTTGATTCTCTCTTTTCCTTATTTTTACAACAAGCCTCTTCAGGCCTTTGTGTTTCCAGCCTGGCCCTCCATGGCAGGCATCTGAATTTGACACCTTTGGGTCTCTGTCATGCTCACCCTTAGCACAGGATGTTAGAGAATTGCTTAAAGACAACAGCAAATAGGCTCCCAAAGGTGCCTTCTGGTTTTGGACCCGAGAAAATTTAGCTTTTGCCTTTTGTTTATATTCCTTGGTGTATGTGGGTAGAGAGGAAAACCTGGATGTGTGTTTGCAGATGTGTGGGCATTAAGGGAAAACCAAAGGGGACTTCTTTCACCGAAATGGTCCTCATCCATGAAACCTCAAGAAGAAGGAAATTAGTGTTGCCTTTGGGATCAGTGTTTAGTTCTAAAATTCACTGGAGAGAAATTATTACCAAGTTGTATAATAATTTCCAAATATGCTAGGAAGTCAAAGTGCTCAAAATAGTTTGTCAAATCAATATTATTGGGGAAGGGGGGGATCCCTGAAAATTAAGTTATTTAAATGTAAATACCGATCTATATCTGATCCCTTACTGGGACGTCTATTGCTATTTGTGGGTAGAATTTACGGGATTTCGGTGTAACTTTGTAACTGGAATTCAGTTCTAAATATGCCTGTTTTCGCTGGCTTGTCTGTTTTTGTGTCTAAACTACGTTACACACAGCTAAAATAAAATGCTAATTTGTCTTTCTTTTTGTTTAAAAAAACAACCCACAATGTCTTTCTCAGCTGAATTCTCTTCTTCATTCTTTGATCTCTGGTTGACTGGAAACTGCCTCTGCCTTCATTTCTCCCTCTTCTCCCGGAGTGAGTCTTGTCTAAAATGTAGTCTGGTCAGGTAATTTCCTTTCTATTTCCCTTTGACTGAAAATGCCAACTTACCACTTTGGATGTTAATATTTTCTTAAAACAGCGTCTTTAAACTCTTTGAGTGATCCCCAAAGATTCATAGGTAGTATTGAAGGGAACTACAGTCCATTTTCCTCTGTAGAACATTCATGTGAAAGAAAAATATTTGTCCTCTGTGAATCAAATAAATAAAGTAATAACAGCCACTTTCCAGAGCTCCCATCAGCATGTGCCTAATTATAGTTTCCAAAACTTGAAACAGCCTTCCAGACAATTTGGCAGCGCCGCCTGACATTGGCAACTGTTGTGGAGCCCTTCAGAAACAATCTGATTTGTTGCCTGCTGGTTCCAAGTTAAATAGGTGTAGCTCTCTAATAGAAGATCAGGAATTTTCGCCACAATGGAACTTCGGAAACTCAGTAAGATTAAGGCAAATCTAAAATGCAAAACAAAAAAAATCTGAAGTACATCACATGGTACCATTTAACCAGTACCTTTCAATGCTCAGCTCTCCATACTGTCTGTCAAAATACGTCCATTTAGACTGGTGTCCATGGAAAAATGCAATTGCTCTTAGCTTTGCCTTCCTAATGAGAAAAGGCTGTGCCAAGAAAAACATGACTATTTCAGTTAAAACACATTTATTTTCTACAAACTCCCTTTTGCCAAGTACTAATATAAGCACAGGCTGGAAGAAAAGTAAATGGAAACAGAAATGTAGGTCCTTGTCCAAACCAAATTAATTACGAGGTAGCAAATAAAGAATCAAAGCTATAGAACGGTTTTCTCCCCAAGATTTCCACATGTTCTCACATATGTCATTAAGTGTCCGTTTCTCTTACGGGTACAGTTTGTGGTCCGTGTGTACTTTGGTGGGGCTAAGTTCTACGGATGCGCTTCTGAATTATCCCCTTCCTCCGCGGGAGACACACAGCACGGTTCTGGTCTGAAGAAGGTGCCATTAGAAAAGTGTCTTAGTCTGGACTACCCAGAGGCGGACCTGAACATAATGATTCAAGTGTCCTAGTTTACTTGGGAGGTGCAGAAGGCAGCCAATCAGGAATGTTAGTAATGTCATTAAGCAAGTCACCAGTTGGGCTGTTAAAACTGAATCCCCCTGGGGAAAGTCTGGAAGCTACCTCAAACACCTGCTGCAGAGTTATCCTGCCTGAGGCGTGAGTGAGCCTGAGAAGTATCCTCGCACCAAACCTCATGGGTGAGCGGTTGAGGGCTGCTCTTGGGGGTGTTAACTCTGAACTTCCGGAGTGTCTCCTGGGTGGGCAGCGTGGGCACCTGTAGCCAGAGAAAGTCCTCAGGCAAAGAAATGCAGGTTGGCAGTCGGGCTGGTACGCACCAGAGTCATAAGGGCTTGGGGACATGGGCAGGACACCGAAAAGTTAACCCGCAAGGGGTGAAATGCCTATCCAGCCCCAAAGGAATTACAGGTGACCTTTGAACAACATGGGTTTGAACTGCACACGTCCACATATATGTGGATTTTCTTTCAATAAATACTGCCAATGTATTTTGTCTTCCTCATGATTTTCTTAACCACATTTTATTTTTTCTAGCTTACTTTATTGTAAAAAATACAGTGTATGGTACATGTAACATACAAAATACATGTCAATTAACTGTTTATGCTATCGGTAAGGCTTCCAGTTAACAGTAGGCTGTTAGTAGTTAAGTTCTCGGGGGGAGTCAAAAGTTTGACACAGATTTTCTACTGTGCAGGGGTGTGGGGAGCAGGGGGTTGGCACCTCTGACCCCCACATTGTTCAAGGGTCATCTGTATTTAAAACTAGCCTATGCTGTATTCATTTCTAAGAGCATAGAAAGTTAAAAATAAGCTACGTTGTTTTAAATAGGCTTTCATTCTAGTTTTACTGATCGATGAGCAGGGAGTCCTTGAAGAACAGGACCTAGATGCTGGACAGTTCCAGCCCATGCTCACATCATAAGGGAGGTCAGGGTCTATGTAAAAACAAGCATCGGCTAATGATCCTTTCAATACCATCCACTTCTGATCACTAGGAATAAGTGTATTAACAAGAAACTGATTCGAACAAACAAACAACAGACACGGTGATTTATTTAGGCCAGAAACTATAAATGGCCGTGTATTAATTTTTCCTGCTTTCTCTTCATTAGGATTTGAGGCCAGGAGACGTCTCTGGCAAGCGGAACCTCTGGGAAAAGCAATCCGTGGATAAGGTCACATCCCCCACCAAGGTAATCTCCTGGAAGGATTTGAACTTCATAGGTTTGTTTCCTCCTCATACTGCAGTAAGGTGTCCTGGGTCAAATGAGAAAGATCACTGACTCACAGAGCTTTGCCCAGGTAACCAGCAGTTTCTAAAGACTTGTACATGGTTCAGTGAATGCAGGTTAATGTCATACAGCAGAAGCCGTCCAGCCCTGTGGATCAGTGCCGAGTAAGACATTCTAGAGACACCATAACAGTAGGAGTGTTGGTATTTCCTCACAAGGCTTGTGGTCACAGCCATCTGAAAATCATCTAGAGGAAAATGTCCATTCCCTGCATGGTTCCAAAGCCGCTTTCTGGAACCATCCTAAGGGATTACCTTGCCAGCAGCCGAGAACTCTCAAGGTTACTGAGGCAAAAATTAAAATAATATTCAGAAGTTAGATAAAACTTGCCACCCTATGAAAACTAATGGCTAAGAGTGCTTGGATTTGTACCTTTTTTTTTTTTGGTCTTCTGCTCAAAGGTTATGTTCATTCTTTACAAAGGGGATTCTGGACAACACCTAAATGATGCTCAGACTAAAAATAGGACCCCTTATTGTACAGGGAGCTAATTCAGCTCTTAATTGTAGCCCTCCCCATTTCCAGCAATAACCCAACCTTCTCCTTATAGAGAGAGATCAGAGGCCAACAGTAAGTAAGATTAGAACAATCTGCTTATGGGTCAACCTAGAACTAGAGACAGAAGCACTTTTTAAGCAAACTCAGGACTGAAGAACACCTCAAAGGCAATGGAGAAGCACCACAATCCACAGAGGTGGGAGAATTCCTTCCCCTTTCCACCTTCTCGCTGCCGGAAGTCCAGGGCACTGCCTTAAGAGTGTTACTCCTTCTTCTCCATCCACTACTTCTTCATTGCTCTTACAGTTCGAGATAATCCACTAGCCGGCCTTTCTACTTAAAGTGACTTTTAAATAAGTTCAGTTTTCAAAGTCATTGCTAAATGCGTTCAAGTACCTAGTAATAATTATCACCTCTACAAACCTCCAACATTTAGCGAGTGTCCACTCTATGCAAAGCTCTATTCTACCTTCTCAATCTACGTGATCTCATTTGACCCTCCAACCACCCTGTGAAGTGGGTATTGCTAGTATCCCCATTTAGAGCGGAGGAAAATAAGGTCCAGAGATATTGAGTAACTCTCTCAAAGCCACATGGCAAATAAGTAGCGAAGTCTGATCTAAGCTTGCATTCTTAACCATTTTTCATGCTGCTTTCTTTTGAGGATTGCATATTCTAGAAAATACAGAGTTTTAAAGTTCCTTGTATAATTTTGTCCTGGTGGAAAGGTATAGGGAAGTTGTTCTTTAGTTTGTTTGGGGGGTTTTTGTTTTGAACAAAGGATGAACTTTTGTTGGCCTAAGTGATTCTGGCCCCTCTAGCACATGGCTCTGACCTTCCAGAAATGTCACCCCAAATGTTTATATAGTCTCCTTTTGGAGTAGCAGATATCAGCTGTCCGTCGTCAACCATCACAGGTGTAATGGGGCCCCTCTAGGTTCTGGGAAGTGGAGTAAAGATATGATCTGAAAAGGTAGGACTCAGAGACCAACACTCACATACGACACAGCAGGGATGGTGGCACTCCCTGGAATTGTGCAGCATGGTGGTACAAGGTGGGAAGGTGACAGGATGAGTCTTCACACACACTGCGCCGTTCTCCTTGGTCTAGCCCACAAAACTCCTTCTACAGTAATCGTACTATAACTAGTAGGCCCAGAGCTGAGTTTCTGAGGCAATAGAGTAGGTAGCTCCTTTGTTCCAAAATGTCAGACTCACTACATGTCATGCAGTGATTCCTTTGAACGAAAACACACAGCACGTCTGGGAATGCAGATTCACAAGACTACATCTGGCCCTCTGTATCCTCAGGTTCCACGTCCACGGATTCAACCAACCACAGATCAACAGTACTTGAAAAAGTTATATTGTTGCTGACATGTACTATTCTGTTAGGCTGACCATGGTTGTGTCTGTACTGAACATGTACAGACTTTTTTCTTATCATTATTCCCTAAACAATATAGTATAACAACGGTTTATATAGCATTTACCAGGTATTATATAGCATATAATGATTTATATAGCATATATACCAGGTATTATAAGTAATCTAGAGATGATTTAAAGTATATGGAGTATATGTAAATACTATGGCATTCTCTATAAGGGACTTGAGTGTCCATGGATTTTGGTGTCCATGGGCATCCTGGAACCAATCACCCCAGGAACTGAGGGACAACTGTACTTTAATATTTGTGAATACCTCAGCAAGGATTTTTTAAAATATATTTTTATTGATTTTTTTATAGAGAGAGGAAAGGAGAGGGAAAGAGAGATAGAAACATCAATGAGAGAGAAATATCTATCAGCTGCCTCCTGTACACCCCCTACTGGGGATCGAGACTGCAACCTCAGCATTCAACCGGCAACCTCTTGGTGATGGGACAATGCTCAACCAATTGAGCCACACTGGCTGAGCCTTCAGCAAAGATTTTCAACAGCTAGCTGGGGGAAAGAAATGGTATACAAATAAGACTATGAGTCAGATAAGTTTCAAGGGTTAGGATATTAAAACAGAAGGGGGGAAACAAAGAACAGAAGAAAACTAAAGGTAAGCATATTCCACTTCAACACCAGGCCTTGACCTGGCCGAGACCGAGCCATCCCATCCAGTACGCCTGCTCGGGAGTGCACAGTACAGATTCCTGGCCCTTACGGCAGAGTTAAAAAATTTTTTAAAAGTAAAATAAAAAGTGATTCTGAATGCCCTAAGCAAGGCGAAAGATCAAGATAGAAAAAAGAGAATATAAAAAAGAGAGGAAGGGAAGAAAGGAAGGAGAAAGAGAGGGAGGAATGAAGGAAACGTAAAAAAAAAAAAAAAATCAACAGGGAAAAAACTAAGAGGAGCATATTTGAATAGAATGCCAACAATAATCCTCCCTTTCATAAGTATGTATTCCTGCCATATTATTTTTTTTCTGACACAAACATCTGGCTGAAACATGTGACCTGTCAACTTAAAGCTGCCTTCTCTTAACAGGTTTGAGACAGTTCAAGAAAGAAGCCAGAGTAGCCACTCAAGATGCTGGAGCAGCCCAGTTGAAGAGGGCTAATGTGCTCGGTTTTATATTTATGTTGATTTACTAAATTGGGTTAATTTCCTTGTGTTTTATTTTTCATTATCCCAGTAAACCCATGTATATTATCACTATATTTAATAATCACAGTCTAGAGAAGTTCATGGTAAAAGTACTGCCTTTGCACAGGAGCCTGTTTCTAAAGAAACCCGTGCTGTGAAATAGAGACTTTTCTACTGATCATCACAACTCTGTCTGAGCAGTGACACCAACCACATCAGAAGTCAAACAGGAGGAGGTTCAAGGTGAAAATTGCCTGAGGAATGTGTGCAGTCTCCAGAAAAACAAACCATAGAGGGGTTTGGTGTGGTTATTTTTTGTTTGTTTTTTTATTTTAAATACAGAAGTCATGTTGTTTCTGCACTTTAGAATAAAGCATGGAAGAAATTTTCTTAGTAGGCGATTGTAACACTTTCTGAAAGTAATCCATTTCAGATTGGAGATACTGCAATAATGATTGTCTTTTTTTTTTTTTTAATGTACTGTTAAGGTATTACTTTTTTCATGCTGATGACTATCTAAATTGGAAGATGATGTTAGAAGACAGTGGTACTGATTTCTTTAGGTTGGTTGCTTTGTGGATTTCTTTGGTAGTGATAGTAAACCACATTTTAGATGACCTGATCATGTATGTATGTGCATACACATATACAAACACACTAATGGTAGAAAGCTTTGTTGTGTGCTAGACTATTATATTTAGCAGTATGTCCTTGTAACTAGCCAATATCACAGCTTTTCAAAAATTAAAAATCACAATATTAATATTCATATTTGCCAATAGAGAAATGGCAGAGTAGGTTATCAGTATGTTTTCAATGCCCAATAGATAACTGTAAGAAAAAAAGAGAGAGTCAAAATGTCAAAATGAATTGACATTTTCTATACAGCATGGAATTTAGCTTATAGTTAAAAGCAATCTTGAAGTCCAATATGAATTTTACTCAATCTACCATCTGGGTCAAACTCAAAGCTTGCTGAGAACTGTATTCTGTTAGCAATCAAGTTCAAAATAGGTTGGCCTAGATGATATCTGAGGTTTCTTCCTTGTCTAAAATTTAAAGGTGGGAATCTTAGTGACAAGATTGTACAGATTGAAATACTGTGTATGTGTATACAAAGACCAGCTTTGGCTAATGTCTGGAAGCAGAGAAGAAAAGTAAGCAAAATCCAGAATTTAAGAGTCATGACAGTCCTTCCATCTTTATTATACTGAACCATTTTTTTAAATTAAATGTTCCTCCTTTTATTATTAATCATTGGTACTTGTCTTAAGTTGATAATGTGTTGAAGTTTCAAAAATATACGTAACGTTTACTAGTTTTACCATTTTCCCCAAGAGTCTTTATCAACTCGTCTTTTTTACACATGCAATCCACAGAGCAGATCTTATTTTAGCTTATAAGTTAAGTGCTTGTCTATTCTTCACAGTAGATGATAAAAGAGTACTCCGGTGTCTTGGCAACATGATCTAGCGTAGAGATAGATAGGATAGTTCTATAAACTTATACCTCATTTGACTTAACCAAAAGTGTCCTGGTCTCAACTGCTACCACAATGAGGGAGCCTCCCAAACGACTCTTTTCTAATCTACAGTATTTCCCTGGAAGAGCTAGCCAGGGCAGGGCTGGCATGAGTAGTGACTGCTGCCTTGCAAAGTCTATTTTCCTCAAAAAACAGTAAAGAGTAGTTGAATTCTCTAGCTTTTAGCATACCTGGGCCAAAGGAAGGAAAGCCACCAAGACTGCACAAGTCACCCACCATGACAGAGTAGATATGAGTCAATGATAAGACAAACTAGAACCCACGTGCGGTGCCTTTTTTAGCCTTGACTCTCGTCATTGGCGTGAAATGGATTGAAGTTTGAATTAGGGCCCATGGCGATGTAACTTTGCTTTGTTGTACTTTTGAACAGGAGCTTCTCATGATCACTATTATATTTTGTTTTTCTAGAAAGTCTAAAGTTGAGAAAAGAATATATCAATCCTGACTTTTATTCCAATGTTTGGATGGAATAAGTTTTAGGGTAGAATTTTGTTCAGTTTGGATTTAATCTTTTGAAAAAATAAATCCCATGTTTACTTGTTTGATTACAATTCTCTTTGTTATCTTTAAGAGGTAAAACTGCAAGGTGACTAGCATGTTCTGTGAATCTGCCATTCCTAAAAATTTTATAAACACTTGATGTTTTTCACTGATAATTGATCGCTGCAATAAATATATATTGTGAAAATGCATCCACAATAAATGGAATTCCTCCAAATGTCATTGCCTCCCTTGTTTTTATATTCTATATTGGTTAAGAGTTCTGTTGTAATAAAGATAGCAGCATCGCAAAATGTATGTTTCAGATTGAGTCTTGGTTTCACTCTTTAAAGAAGAAAAACCATTTCATATTTCTTATCACGGGCAATTTTCTAACAACTGACCAAACATATGGAAAAGGTTGAAAAGAGATTTTTTTAAATTCTTCTTCAAAAAGTTATCAAATGTTCCTCCATCCTCCTTCTCAGTCCCGGTATTGTCACACAACCACGCTTCTTGCTCCTGAGAGAGCAGTACTGTTTCCCCAAAGGTAGTTTCTTTTATAGTAGAAATAGCCATTAAATATATACCATTTGCAGAATATTTACTATTGACAAGGCAGTGGCAATTACATTTAAATCCAAGTGTCTCTTTGTAGTAAGTTTGTATATTTATGTAGCGCTACTTGGTCTGAAATCTGAGGTTCTTCTCATAAAGGTTTTGAAGGTGAGTCCAGAGCTCCTGAGCAGTCCCTAAATCCTGTCCATAAGATTGACAGAAATAAGTTACTGTAACTTAGAAAATGTTTAGTACTTTTTACTTCTATGTCCTAACAAGGAGGATGATGGCAATAAATTTAGACAACAAGATAGTTGTCATCAAAGTTAATTCACAAAATTAAGCAATGAAAATAATACAATCTGTAATACTAATACCAGGATGGTGGGACTAGAGATGGAAAATTAATTTTACAATGTGCATATTCAGGGTATAGTATAGTCTCTTGTGTGATGTAGGAACAGGTTTATTGGAGGTTTTTCCCTTTCCTTGCTTGCATTTGTGCTCCAAATGGAAAAATGGATAAGAAAAAAAGACCTCATGATTCTAAACACGTGTTCTTCCATAAAAGTAAAATGACCTAATGAGGTCTTAATTTGAGTGCTGTGTCTATGTGTCAAGCTTATTATTCATGTTGTCCAAACATTATATATCCTTACTGATTTTTTTGTTGTTTTTTGTTCTATTACTGAAAAAAAAAAAAAAAAGTAAAAATACCCCACTATGATCATGGATTTATCTGTTTTTCCTTATAATTTTGTTTTTCATATTTTAAGGTCATGTTTTAGGTGCATATACAAATCTAGAATCATATATTCCTAGAGAATTAAATACTTTGTCATTATGAAATGAATCTATGTGTAGCAAAGATTTTTGCCTTACGTTTATTTTTCTATTAATATTGTTACAGTGGCTTTCTTTTGGTTAGCACTTGCACAACGTAACTTCTTCCACCCCTTTACCTTCAACCATTGTATATACTTCAGTTTCATTCTTTTTTTTTTTTTTTATCCTCACCCGAGGATATTTTTCCATTTTTTGTACAGATAGAGTGGGAGGGTGAGAGAGGAAGGGAGAGACAGATAGAAACATCGACGTGAAGGGACACATCGAGTGGCCGCCACCCGCACGACCAACCAGGGCCGGGGACAAACTGCAACCGAAGTACGTGCCCTTAGCGGGAACCGAACCCGGGTCTTTCCAGACCGCAGGCCGACGCTCTAACCGCTGAGCCAAACTGGCCAGGGCTATACTTCAGTTTCAGATAACATGTCTTCGAAAATCATATGGTTTGAGTTTGGATTTTAATCCAGTCTGATCATCTTTGAGCTTTGACTGGAGTGTTTAGTCCTTTTATATTTAATGTAATTACTGATATATTTGCAGTTAAATAGCATTCTAGTATGTGCCACCTGTTGCTTTTTCTTTCTTGCTTCGGTGCTGGGATTTCTTCTGCTTCCAAGCATATGTTGATCTACAAGAGGCAGCTGAAAGGCTGGGCTAGACTTCTGGTAACCCAGTGGGGCTAGAGGACAAAGGAATCTTCAGCTGTCAAGGACGAGGGTTTGTTCAACTACCAGATTATGAATTTCCAAAGAACTGCTTCCTGAATGTAACGATGAGCGTGAAGGAATCTGGTCTTCATAAAGATTGCTGCCTGCCTTCACTCTGGGAACAATTACATTATTCTAGTGGGGAGGTAAATTATAAATAACAGACATGAAAAGTTACAAAATATTGAGTTACAATTCAAGAATTTAAGAGATAAAAGATCACAAGTTTAGTACGTAACTGTCAAAGATTATGTAACACATAATTCAGTATTTCGAGGGAGGAGAGAATACTTCAGAGAAAAAAAAATATTTGCCTTATATTATTTTGTACCCTCAAAGGTATACCCAGTGCTCTGCATAAAGTGGTGCTTGATAAGAGACAAGATGATGATTTCCTGAGCAGCCCAATTTATAAACTGCTAGATGTACTACTGTCAATTGTTGTAGAGTTCTTAGAGATCTGAGAGATTAACTTGTTTTATGATATTTTTATTCCCAGATTTATCATTCCTGTATCAATCAGTGTTGTATCTCAGCTCCATAAAGAATGTTGGCCTCTTACTTTAATAGAGATTTAATAACAGAGTTTTGCCAAGGCATGCTTTTAGTGATGTCAGCTTTTGTTATCTGGAATTCTTTTCCCCAGAAAAGTTTCTCATTAAAATGGGTTTTAGAAGTCCCAACTGATCATTTCTACCTAGATTAAAAAAAAAAAACCTTCATTCAATAATCTCTTACTGAAGGTACTAATATAAAAATTATGCAGAGCTACAATCATACAGAATGCAAGATTATTTCCTTAGCTAGCTTTCAACCGGGGTCAATGGTGACACTACAGTCACGCAAGGATCACTGCAGCAAGGTAAGCAGGTACTCAAGCATCAGCGGAATATGGTGTCACTGTCACCAATTAGAGGTTAGCTAGTGAAATGGTAATGACACCTAACATTAATTGGGCCCTTACCAAGTCCCACGCACTTTATATAGTATTCACTCATGTGATCCTCCCGACATCCCTACATGATAGGTGTAAATAAGTGGAAGCATGCAGAAGGTAAAAAAGGTTGCTCGATGTTAAATGGCTATTAAGTGGCAGAATATTTGACCCCAGGCAATTGGCTCCTGAGCCCACCCTCCTAACCTCTAGACCAGACTCTTACAAGAGACCGTTACTGTGCAGGAGCATGCCCAGAAGAGGGCCCTGGAAGGGGGCAGGTTGGAGCCAACGCTTTCCTCCTGAAGCCCACAACACAGAGCAAGAACAGCACTGGAGAACAACGCTGTAAACTTCAACTTGGCCCAGTTAAGGAGATATTTGCCCTTTTCCTCCCCAGCCCCTGCTCATCCTAACACAAGGAACTGGTACCTAGAGAAAATGGGGAGATGGCTGTAAGTAGCAAACACCCGCTCCCTCCCACCTCCCAGGCCACCGGAGCTGGGGACAGATCTAGGTTGCCTGAGGGGTGAAGAGAAGGAGGGGGGTTGAACTGACTTTGAAACGGAGGCTTAAGATGTACTTGCTACCAAATCCCTGAGTGAAATCTTAGGTACCAAAATGAAACTGTTTTAGCCGCTGAGAGTGGCTGGAAAGGTATGGAATCTGGACAAGTTCTCTGTGGAAAGGGAGATTTCTCCACTGCAGTTCTGGGGCAGTTATTGGGGGGATGAAAACATGTTTTTTGTCACGAGATTTCGCACTGACCCTGAGAACTCTTCTTTCTCTTTTGAGGTGATTCTGCCTGTTCATTTTCTATAGAGCGGGCAGGGGGCATCGTTACTACCTCATTTCCCAGTGTTTAGGAGAACGCTTCCTTATGGTCCCCAAAGTTAGACATATTATACAAACATTATACAAACCAATTCTACCAATGATACAGGGATCAGGAAAGACTTCACTGTGGGGATGGCCCTTGAGCCGAGTCTTGGTTAGCTGACTGGCTGGGAGAGATTTCCGATTTGAGCTTGGAGACATTTTGAGAGGTTTGGCCCTATACTGGGGCCAGACAGTCTGAGAACAGCCAAGATGAATACTAGATGGATGACCCCAGGGCTCCCAGATCTAACGTGGCTTTCTCAGCCAAATTAAGACAAGACTTCTAGCCACATAACCAATAACTTCTGTGATATCATAAATAACTCTGTCATAGTCACTTCACCTTCTCATTGAAGTCTCTGCTCAATAAATTCCAAATGATATAATTACACAAAATAAATATAGTCCTAATACAACTTACATTTGGCCATATTGCCAAAGTGAACTTCCTTCTTGATTCCCACACTTAATAACTGTGCCTTTTGGCCCTGGCCAGTTTGGCTCAGCGGTTAGAGCGTCGGCCTGCGGTCCGGAGAGACCCGGGTTCGGTTCCCGCTAAGGGCACGTACTTCGGTTGCAGTTTGTCCCCGGCCCTGGTTGGTCGTGCGGGTGGCAGCCACTCGATGTGTCCCTTCACGTCGATGTTTCTCTCTCTCTCCCTTCCTCTCTCTCCCTCCCACTCTATCTGTACAAAAAATAGAAATATATCCTCGGGTGAGGATTTAAAAAATAAAAAAAAATAAAAAAAAAAATAAAATAACTGTGCCTTTTGGAGTCTTGTTTTGGTTTTTCTTTTCCTCCTTTCTTACTCTACTTTCATTGTTTTCCTTTTATACCGCAGGTTTGGAGTAGATAAATCCACCAAAACTTAGGGGAAAAATTGCTGTAGAAATAAAACTGCCTCCCCAAAGGTAGAAGCTGGCTATATAAGGAGTCTATCCATAACCTTCTCTGATAAGATCAATGGGAAGGGGAACAAAAATTCAGACTAACAAAGCCCAGGCCTCACTTCCACTTTGACCTCAATGCAAAGAATTTTGTCTCTGTTACATACTACTATCTGTAATAGGAGAGTAAATATTTTGAATAAGAGAAGCAGATGCTTAAGAACACCAAGTTGAATTTATCTGGGAAAGGAAAAAATCCTAATGAATTCTCTTTCCTTAATATGATACTGACTTTAGCCAAGCTCTGGCTGAACAGTGCTGCCTGGTATGACTCATGACACTGGTCATCTCTTGGAGCCTTTGCATCTGCCTCTTCCCCTGCCTGGCTAGGTCTTCCCTAGACATCTGTTAGGAGGACTCTGATGACTTTCTCAGTTTAAGCTGATGGTTGTGAAAGAACTCAATTTAAGCTGATGGTAGGCAAAAAGGTTTATTCACTTTCCAGAGGAAAGGGGCTGAGAGCTAGAGAGCCCTATCTCCTTGAAGGACTGAGGTTTTTAAGGGCTGTTTAAAGGTTAAGGTGGGGCTCTGGGGCAGAGCTGGCATCATCGGGGTGCAGATGTGCAGCATGCTCTGTGCCGCCGGCACAATGCAGCTATATCTAGAGATGGGTGGAAATTTACTGTGGGTTAAGTAAAAGGTCTATGGTCTTAGATGGGTCACCGATCAGGGTCTGTCAACACCCACATGGCTCAATCCTTTACTTGCTTCAGGTCTCTGCCCAAACGCCTCCTGGTCAAAGAAGCTTTCCTGCACACCCCATCAAAAGAACTACCCCTACACCAAGGCCCACCCACTCAGGTCATTCCCTATGCTCAATTTTTCCATTTTACTTCTCTCCATAGCAGTTATCTCCTGGGTGTGTGTTTGTTTTCTATTGGTTTGTCTGTCTCCTTCTAATAGTATATAACCTCCATGCAATCAATAATCGCCGTCCACAGGGTGCAGTCCCTGACAAGTAGTAGGCATTCAATAAATATTTGTTGAATTAATGAGAGAATTATGATTTTTTCAAAGTTTTTAAAATTCCTAAGTATTTTCATGCACTAAGATAGTTTTGTTTTGTTTTTTTCCTCTATAGCAGTGGTTTTCAACCTTCCTAATGCTGCGACCCTTAAATACAGTTCATGTTGTGGTGACCCCCAACCATGAAATTATTTTCGTTGCTACTTCATAACGGTAATTTTGCTACAGTTATGTCTTAGGCGACCCCTGTGAATGGGTCGTTCGACCCTGTCTCACAGGTTGAGAACCGCTGCTCTATAGGCTTACTTGAAATATCATGTAAATATTTGGATTAAAAATCATGAGACTTAAGTCCCAGCTCAGCTATTAATTTCTTGTATAACCTAATCTGAATGTTTTAGAGCTTCACCTTGTACATCTGACGGCCTGTGGCTCATAACCATGACTCTAAAATCCAACAGCAAGAGAGATCCCATATATAAACATTCTCTGTGCATGCCGCCTTTAGTAACATATGTATGGTTTAAAACAAGGTACAATTATAAAGAGTAACTATTTTCCAAGAGAGTTTTATCTCACATATGTTCTATTTCTTTTCCTTCTAAACTGCCGACCTCAAAAAAACCTGTTATTTTTCAGAATCTTACAAAATCTAAAGATACGGACCTATTTTCCATGCTTAAGCCAAAGCTTTGCCCTCTTTTCTACTTTCAAACTTGCTATATAATTCATTATCTCCATTTGCACATTACGAATCTCATGACATATAACGCCCCAGGTAGGAACCAAACATCTAAAGACTTTTTTCCCTAGCTACATTACTTTAAAAACTGTTTCAAACAGATTGTTATCCGCCGGAGCTCAAGATCAGGAGAAAACCAAGGTGGACGAGCAGGAATAATGCCCCAGACTGGGCCGGGAAGCCCGTATCTGCCAGATACTGTGCTCCGAGTGTCACCTAACGATGATTATACTGAAAGAACCTCTGTGCTGATAAGCACCTTGAGAGCTCACCCTAGCACATCTATGACTCCTCTGTCAAGCACGTAGAGAGAAAATGTTCATCTCCGAATCGAACCCAGATCACCGGTCACACAATTGTGCAAAACGCAATCAGCGTGGGGTACAAACAAAGTCCAACAAAGCACTTAACCAGCTCGCTACAGCCTCCTCGGCGGTCGGAACCTGGGAACAAGTCACTAAATCACTGTCCCCGCCCCACCCGCCCTCTCCTGGCCTGAACCTCCGGCGGCGCCACCGCAGCCTGGGCTCTGGTTCCACCCGCCCCGCACTCTCTGCGCCCACCGCTTCGGCCCCTAGTTCCCGTCATCCTCCGGGGTCTCCCTTCCTCGGGCCGAAATCCCGCGAAGTCTCTCTCTCTTCTCGCTACTCGCTAGGTGATTCCGGAGGGCTGTCATAAGTCTCGCGAGGGTGGTCCCGTTGCCCAGGTAACGAGTGGCCTTGCCTCCCGGCGAAGGGCGTGGCTGGGACGCTAAACTGGACCGTAATTATGTCGGGCTGCTTCCGCCACGGAAAAGAGGCCTGGCCGGGCCAGTGGACTCGGGCCAGAGGACTCGGGCCGGGAAGGAGGGGCGGGCCGAGGCGGGACAGCGGAGCGCGGTCCTGAGGACAGGAGATCGTAGACGGGGCGCCCCCCTGCGGGAAGCGAGCGCACGTGCACACACCCTCCCGGGAAAATGAGCTCCTACCCACCCTGCCGTGTCCAGACGTGAGCGAGGGAGGGACACCTGGACAACCTGTGACTGAACCGTCCTTCTCACCGAGAAAGTCATCGTGCCTGCCTGCAGACCAGGCCTGGCGGCGCCTGCTTTTGCCTCTTCTGCCTCAGCCGTGGGAGCGCCCACTAGTTAATCAGTGTTTAATCAGTGTGTGCAGCTCGGGTTTTCCTCTGCAGCAGGTCAGCCCCGCTGGTGTTACCCTGCTGCGGGGGTTGGCGTTACCCTGCTGCGGGGGTTGGCTGCTTGGGAGGTGCTATGCAAGGAAGAGATGTGGTTGTCGCTAGGTAGTTTTATTTATTGATAGCGAGTAAAGGGAGTTCACATCCGAAAGCTCTCTCCCTGAAGGAAGGCCTAGCTGTTAGCGATTGTTTATATACACCCTTTGGATAATTACATGTTGATTTCTTCTTTGCAACTGGGTCAACTTATCTGGTTGGGTTCCAGGCAAGCTCATCATGTTGCAGCTGTGTGTGCAAAATATTTTAACATTTAGCAAGAATAACGTTTAGTAAGAACCCAGACAAGAAGACTCTTGTCCTGGCTTACATTGGTGTGCCTTATGCACATGTAAGGAAGTAGAAGCAGGTTTATGCCAACCCCGTTTCCCATATTTGGAATTGTGGTGATCCCCAGGCTGAAACGGCCGTCTCTTGGCACTGAAGGGCTTAATAAGACACACTTCTCTGTTGCATTGGTAGTGATTTGCTGTGGAGCTTGGACTTTCTGCCATGTAGTCTTGTTCCAGAGCACACTTTTTGTAGAGAGGAGCTTAAACAAATAGACTGGGAATTAGTAAATTCCTTTGGTCTCCAAATAAATAAATAAACAAACTCTTGATTATTATTTCATTGTCTTAGTAATAAACAGTTGGGAGAATACTTGCATAGCAAGGATAATGGTCATCTCCAATACTACCTTCTAAAAGCTACTGAGATTTCAGTAAGACAAATATAATTGAATATTGAAATAGAGACGGACGGTATCTATAGAATAGTAACCAAAATATAAAGAGAAAAGCCTGTTGTAGGCTTTTGATCTATTGGTCAATTGAAAATTAAGCAGAAAATAAATGTCTTCTATTGCTGCATTTCACTGCCTGAATAAGTAACTATAATTTTTCTTTGATTCATGATTTTTTTTTAATGCCTTGGGATTAATCTGAATTTGCTATTGCTTTCTGGTAAGTAATTGTAAATATAGGGTGTAAGTGATTTGGCTTTATACCCTATAAATTCTTTTTTAATTTACTTATTTGATTTGTCTTTTATTGTGATTTGGTACAGAAATGAAAAATTTCTTCAAGTCTTCGAAATTGGTTTATTTAGCTGTATCCTAATAACTTAGTTTTAAAAAGAAGCCTGTTGCCACTTAATTAAAAACAATAGAATGTATTTTGGGTACTCATTTAATGTTATAAACTTTCAATTTAAAAGCTGTCAATAAATTCCTTGGAAATTGTTTTACAACCTACCAGTAAATAAAAGAAATTTCGAGCCAAATACTAAGAGATGTCAGAAGATTCAGAAGAGGAGGACTATTCAGACAGAACAATCAGTGATGAAGATGAATCAGTATGTTTTCCTCAACTTTATCTTATTTAATTTGAGATAAAACTTGTGCTATATAGGTTCCCAGTAAAAGTATTATATAATCAGTTGAAAATAAGAATCAATTGGATGTTTAAATCATGTGTCATTGAAGTTGGGAAATAATTTGATTGAAAGCCAAAATATCCCTATGTGCAGTATGCCCCATCTACAAAGATAACTTATATTGGCAGTGTTTTTCTGAAAATAAATAAATAAATTGGGTAAGATTCTTCTGAGTTCTATTAAAATGTGTGTATTAAATCATTATTAGGGAGCTTTATAATTCCTTTCCACTTTCCTATATGTACTGATTGTACTGTATTCAACATAATATGATACTGGAACCTCATGTTTTAAACCTACTTTGTAGCTCCATAATAGGTTTAGTGTGGCTCTAATGTAACAAAGGGAAGGACACAGAGGAAGAAAAAGGGGGAAAAAACAAAATGCAGTATTTAAAAATATTTTGTCTCATTCCAGTAATATTTGTGAGATATTGTCTTCACATTTTAGTAAAGTATAAATTATCATGTATGTAAGTTAAGGTCCCAAAATAAGCTCCCCAAAATGCTGTATAACCAACCCTTTAAGTGTGTGACTTTCTGTGTTTCTTTTTGTCTTTTTTTGTTAATTTTTCTTAATTTAAATTGTTTTGCTAAGTTACCAAGAATCTTTAAACTTTATTCTTCCCTGCAATCATTACCCTGTAGAAGAAGAGGAATGAAAAATGAAAACTTGAAGGTTTCAGGCTATTTGAAGTGGTGTGTGCTTTGAAACCAGTAGCCCATAATCATCCTTTAATTTTTTTCATTAGAGATTAAACACATGCACTCTATTCTGAGTATAAACTAGATGTAAAAAATTTCTGAATTTGGAAACTGTTGGTTTTTAAAAGAGAAATATTTGTAAACGCTCTTGTTTTAGGATGAGGATACCTTCATGAAATTTGAAGACTTCCACCAGTGTGCACTTTTAACAGGTTTGAATTTATGCATATATTCTCCCTTCTCTTTATGATATGACCTTGAGTGGATGAAAACTAACAAGATGAGAAAACAGTCAGACTGAATAATACAGGGAGTTATTATTTTGTTACTGGATAAGGAGAGAGAAATGTATTCACTTTTATAAGAATCTTTTGGATTGTTTTAAGGTTTGTTTTAGGTAAACCTGATTTTTTATTTAATTAAAGGAAAATGGTCAATACTTGATAAAGGACTTAACACGAGAATTTACCTTGACATTTCTTTAAATAACCGACTCTTTAAATGCATCTACAGTATGACTGGAGTTATAATGGACACAGTGTTTTGGAGCTATATCTTTATTTAAATGAAGTATGCCTGTATAAAGAGTTTTCTTAAAGTCATTTATTTGCAAATTTACATGTGCATGTAGGCATTTTAATGTACACTTGATTTTTTAAATTTTATACATTTAGAGTTGTGCTTTTCAAATGCACACTAAAATGTTTCTTCCAAATAGTCACATATCTATCACAGATATTTTGAAATTGAAGATAAGACCTTTATTTATGTTTTATTGTTTTGTCTTTTTCACTGTCATCCTAAAATAAATCTTCACTTTTGAGATAACCACTATTCTCAGTTTGGTGTTTATCCTTCCAGAATTTTTTCTTTGCATTTGTACACATATCTCTACCCATAGTCGCAGGAAAGTTGTAGTACTATTTTGTGGTCTTCCTGCTGCCCTTTTTCTCTTCTTAAAATTTTATCAGTCTGTTAGATAAAAGGAAGTAACTCACTGTTTTTATTAACATTTATTTGCTCACTAAAGAAATTGAGAATTGTTTCATATGCGTGTCTGTTTATATTCCCTTGTGTTATGAATGGCTCTTTCATAGTAATCCTTTGTTAACTTGGTTTACATTGCTTTCGTTGTTTGGAATTATTTTGATGTTAATCATTATTCATTTGTGGCCCTATTTTTATATGTTTAAGCTGCAAAGCCTCCTACTCTAAGATCATCAATATAATTATCGAAGTTTTTTTTTTCCTTTTTTTATTAATTATTTTTGTTGCAGATGTTTCTTCTTTTTCCCCATAGACACCCTCCTTCCTGTCCCCCGCCCCCCAACCATTGTTGTCTATGTCCATTGGTTACGCATTCAGAGTTTTCTTGAAATAGTTTTATGTACTTGTTTGAATTTTGGTATTTAATTTCTCTTTAATTTACATTTACAAATAGTATGAGGTATGGATCTAATTTTATTTCCTAATTCATAAATATTAGCCTCGCCATTTTTAAATCATACTGTAAATTAGACAAAGTGTAGTCTATTCACGTAATAGGATACTGGATGCTTAATAAATGTCCGTGGAATAAGTGGATATAACAATCTTGAGAAGAAGCAAGGGAAGGTAATATTTCTTATTTACAAGTAGTATGATTTATATCCAAAGAGGCTGCATTAGCCAGCCAAAATCATGTATAATCGAAGTGGTAGAATAGAACTGTTTGACTCCCAGTCCCATTGATATATCTGCTATTGTATAAAAATAACCCAGAACTAAATCTAGGTTAAAAGTCACATTTCTTGGGACAACCCCATTGTATTCTATGTGAATTATGTTCCTGGGGTTGTGACACATAGTAGCTGTAGAATGAGAACTGAGAAAAAGTTGTGACTGAGAGTTCACAACTTTTGAGAATATAGTTCTAGTAGGTAGTGAGGAATATGGTCAGTGGGTGTATTTAACCTATTAGACAAATAGTTGCCTCAATGTAATTAAGTTTAAGAAAACTCTTCAGGCCCTGGCCGGTTTGGCTCAGCGGTTAGAGCGTCGGCCTGCGGTCCCGAGAGACCCGGGTTCGGTTCCCGCTAAGGGCATGTACCTCGGTTGCAGTTTGTCCCTGGCTCTGGTCAGTCGTGCGGGTGGCAGCCACTCGATGTGTCCCTTCACGTCGATGTTTCTCTCTCTCTCTGTTCCTCTCTCCCCCTCCTACTCTACCTGAACAAAAAATGGAAAAATGTCCTCGGGTGAGGATAAAAAAAAATAAATAAAAAAAAAAAAAAAAAAAGAAAACTCTTCAGTAAACCTTTTGCTAGAAAAGTTGCAAGAAATAAATGCAATCCCTATCAAAATCCAAAATGTTTTTGGAGTAGCAGTGACAAGGTAAATTAATAGTATTTGACATCAGCAACTGTTTTCCAGCTACTGTGAAGATCAATTGTTAACAAAATTTCATTAGTACTTTTTATTTTTAAAATGCCATGAGTTATAAAATATTTATAATGATATCTACAGCTATTCACAAATTAATGGTGTTGGAGGGAAAAAAAGGAATATATAAAAAAGTATCGGAATTTTCCCTGGCTGGGTATTTCAGTTGGTTAGAGCATCATTCTGATATACACCAAGGTTGCAGGTTCAGTACTGGGTCAGGACACATATAAGAATCAACCAGTGAATGCATAAATAAGTGGAACAACAAATTGATATCTATCTCTCTCTCTCTCTCTCTCAAATCAATTAAAAAGAATTATAGGCCGTGGCCTGTTTGGCTTAGCAGTTAGAGGTCGGCCCTCTCACTGAAGGGTCATGGGCTGGATTCTGGCCAAGGTCACATACCTGGGTTGCAGGTTTGATCCTCTCCCTCTCCCTCCCTTCCACTCTGTCTAAAAATCAATGGAAAACTATCCTCAGGTGCAGATTTAAAAAAGAAAAGAATTATAGGAATTGGAGTTTTGCTTCTTAACACTCATGATTGTGTTTCAATCTTTTTCCAGCTAACTCCATTAGCGACCCATTTTTCCCCCGGACTACACAGATACTATTGGAATATCAGCTAGGAAGATGGGTGCCACGTCTTCGTGAACCACGAGATTTATATGGTGTCTCTTCTTGTGGTCCATTGAGCCCAACACGGTGGCCGTACCACTGTGAGGTTGTTGATGAAAAAGTCCAGCATATTGGTATGTTCTTAAGACTCCTGGTATTAGAATAATCGTTCCAATAGAAATATAGTGTGAGTCATACAGAGGTGGGCCAATGTAGGTTTACAGTTGTTTGTATGGAAAACAATATAATAATTCATAAATAATAATACAAGAATAAAGCATTTCACGTACTCACAACTATAAACCTACTTCTGCCAATCCCATATAGGTCATTTAAATTTTTCTAGTAGCCACATTTCAAAAGGTAAAAAGAAGCAAGTGAAATTGATTTCAGAAATATTTTTTATTTAACCCAAATATATCCAAAATACTTCACATTCTTTTTTTATATGAAGCCTTCAAAAACTGGTATGCATTTATAATTACATTTCAGTTCAATTTCAATTTGTTCACATCCTTGCCAACACTTTTCTTTTTTTCTTTTTTTTATTTAAATAGCCATCCTAACAGGTGTGAGATGATATCTCACTGTGGTGTTGATATGCATTTCCCTGAAGAAAAGGGATGTTGACAATGCAATCCCTAGCAAAATCTCAATGGCATTTTTTACAGAAATAGAAAAACAACTATAAAATTCATATGGAACCACAAAAGGCTACAGATAGCCAAATCACCCTTGAGAAAGAAGAGCAAAGCTGGAGGTATCAAACTTGCTGATTTCAAAATATATTACACAGCTATAGTAATCAAAACAGTGTGGTACTGACATAAAGATAGACATACAGAGCAATCAACAGAATAGAGAGCCCAGAAATAAATCCACGTATATATGTTCAGCTGATCTTGATAAGAGTACTAAGCATAAGATGAAAGGTGGGTTGGGGGAATGGGTGAAAAAGGTGAAGGGATTAAGAAGTACAAATTCATTGCTAGACTAACAAACCTCAAAGGGAAGGGGGTTGGGGAGTGGGAAGAAATAAACCAAAGAACTTATATGCATAACCAATGGACACAGACAATAGTGTGGGAAAAGGCGGGAGGGGGGCGGGAGTGGGGAGGAGGGGGTCAATGGGAGAAAAATGAGGAACATCTGTAATACATTCTACATTCAACAATAAAGATTTTAAAATTTTTTTTAAAAGTGCTAAGCATGTACAATGGGGAAAGGATAGTCTCTTCAACAGATGTTGAGAAAATTTAATATCCATATGCAAAAGAATGAAATTGGACCCTTGTCTTACACCATAAAAAAACATCAACTCAACATGTATTAAGGACTTAAATTTAAGATCTGAAACTGTATAACTCCAGCAAGAAAACATAGGGGAAAAGCTTCATGACATTGTTCTTGGCAGTGATATGGATATGACGCCAAAAGCACAGGTAACAAAAGCAAAAATAAACAACTGGGACAACACAGAGCTTCTGTTCAGTAACAAAGGAAATAACACAGTGAAAAGTCAACTTGTGGAATAGGAAAAATATTGGCAAACTGTATTGCTGATAAGGAGTTAATCTCTAAAATATATAAGGAATTTCTACAACTCAGTAGCAAACAAACTAATAACCAGATTAAAATGGGCTAAGGCTTGAATAGATGTCTTTCCAAAGAAGACAGAAATGGCCAACAGGTATATTTATTGACTTTTTATGTAAACTGATAAAATTATTTGCCATTTTGTTGTTGGTTCAAGTTACAGTTTTCTTCTTGATCTGTAAATGCTCTATACTTATTTATGAGATTATGTTGCATACTTTTTTTTTACTTTGTCATGTGCCTTTTATCTTTCTCATGTAGAAAATTTTAATTTTTATGTAATCACTCTATCATTTTTCTATGGTGTCTGGGTTTTTTAATCCTCATATTTCTCTTAGCAAATTTCAAGGTTTTTTTGTGAATAAAATTTTTTTCCATCAGGAATCCATTTCGATGCAAGAAGAGAGCTCCCAATCCAGTTTTGTTAATTGTCTAGCCAGTTGTTCTAACAAAATTATTAAATAAATTTTTGTCTACTGATTGGAAATGCCATAATTATTATATACTAAATTTCTACGTCTATTTTTGAATTATATTCTATTTCACTAACCTGTCTATTCATATGGTGACTCAAAAACCTTTAATGCTATTGTTTTAAACTATAAATTTTGTTATTTGTTATGTGGTAAACTTAGTTTCCCATCATTTTTTCTTTTAAAAAGTTTTCCATTGTTTTTGGCTTATAATATTTTGCCTTATTGCATTGGCTTACTTTGCCATATTGTATGTATTTCTATATGGAATTTAAAATAAACTTTCGTATTTGTCCCAAAATTAATACTGGTAACTTTATTGTGATCGCATTGCATTTATAGATTAAGCAAGAGCGACATCTTTACAATACTGCATCTTCCTAAGCCAAGAACAAGGTATGTCTCACTATATAGTATAGTTGTCCTTTATCCACTTTGGTATAATTTTAATTTTTTTCCCTGCACTTTTTCTAAATTTTATTGTTAGGTATTTTATTTTGTTGCTATTTTAAATAGGATCTTTATTGCACATTATTTTCTAACCTGTTATGTAGAGGAAAGTTAAGTTTTGTGTATTAATTTTGAAACCACCCACCTCTAATTTCTAGTTTTTAAATTATTGTACATGTGCTTTTATACAGTTATATCATCTAGTAGTAATGTAATTAAAGCTCCTCATTTCCAATTTGTATACCTCATACTTCTTTTTTTTGACTGGATGCATTGACTGGTACTTTAAAAAAATAATTAATAGTTTTATATTCATCTTGTTCCTCATTTTAATTGGAATACTTTTGTGTTTTCTCTCTAAGCAGAATAGTGGCTTACTATTTGAAATACATGTGCTTTTGATTTTTATTAAGGAAGTATCCATTTATTCTTTATGATTAAGAAAATTTACCGGAAATAATTACTAAATTTTATTAAATGCCTTTCAACATTTACAGAGAGAAAGCGTCATAGGTTCTTATTTGATGTATTCCTTTGGTGAATTATACTAATAGGTCATGCGGTAATATATATGTTGTTGTTAAGCCTCACCTGAGGATATGTTTTGCCACTTTTTTTTTTTTTTTTTTAAGGAGAGTGAAAGTGGTGGTGGTGGGGGGGAGAAACATCAATGTCAGAGAGAAACATCAATTGGTTGCCTCCTGCGTGCTCCCTGACCAGGGCCACGGATCGGACCTGCAACCTAAGTACATGCCCTTGACCAGGAATCAAACCCACAACCCTTTGGTGTGAAGGCCAATGCGTTATCCACTGAGCAACACTGGCCAAGGCTAACTTTTTTAATTCTTGCCTGAGGATATGTTTTTTATTAATTTGAGAGAGAGAGAGAAAGAGAAGCATCTATCAGCTGCCTCCCCTACTTGCCCTGACCTAGGATCGAGCCCACAACCTAGGTATGTGCCTTGACTGGAAGCCAAACCCACAACCTTTGGTGCATGGGACGATGCTCCAACCAACGGAGCCACCAGCCAGAGCTGAACCAGGTGTCTGTTATTGGAATGAACTGCAATTAGTCGTTGTGTGTTATTTTGTGTGTTGCTAAAGTCTGCTAATATTTTATACAGGATTTTTGCTTTAATATTCATAAGTAAAGTAATTTATTATTTTCTAGCTATTGTACTTTTTAGGTTTTAGTATAAATATTATTCAAAATTCTTCTTATATTCTAGAATAGTTTGAATAATACTGTAATTAATTTTTTTTAAGTTTGATAGAATTCATCTAAAACAGTCTGGACATATTTGTTATTGTTGTTTTAGATATACAGAGAATATTTTATTGTAAAACTTTTCTTTTTTGTTAGTTCTGTTTAGATTTTTCTATCTGTTCCAGGGACAGTTTTGATTCTTTGTATTTTTAAAGAAAAATATTGATTTTATGCAGAACTTTTCATTCAATTTCATAGATTTAGCCAAAGTATTCTGTTGTAATTGCTATAATTTCCTTTGACTATATGGGATTTTTCCCTCTGTTGTCATATTTTATGTTAAGTATTTGTACATTCTTATTTTCTTCTTCCCTGATTATTTTAGTGGGATTTATCTTGTTAGTTTTTCTAAGGAATCCATTTTGAATATATTAATTCTGTTGTACTCTTTCATTAATTTATGGGTTTTCTTTGTATATCTGATTCATTTAAGTTTTTTTTTTATTTAGCATCATTCTGTATTTAACTTCTTGTTTCCCAATATTTTATTATGAAAAATTTTTTAATGTAGAGAGAAGTTGAAAGGATTGTACAGGAACACCTACAACTCACCAGCTAGATTCTTATTATTAATTATTTGCCATATTTCTTGATCACATATGTAGTCAACTATCCATCCCTCTCTCTATCCATCAGACCATCTTAATTTTGTTTCAAAGTAAGTTTCCGATATTGTTACATTTCAATTCTAATTTAGCATGCATATTATTAGCTGGAGTTTAATCTTGGTTTATTATTCTTTTTATTTCCGAAGTAAATTTTACATTCAGAGACATGCATGAATCTAAGTGTATCAGTCAGTGAATTTTAGCAAATGCATACATCTGTGTAGTCCAAACCCCTACTACAATATAGAACATTACCATTACAGACACTTAAAAATTTTAAATAATGCTTAAAACTATATAATGCTAATGAAAGAAATAAAAGAATATCTAAATAAATCAAGAAATGTACCATATTCATGGATTGGAACACTCAGTCTAGTAAAGTTGTCAGTACTCCCCAAATGGTTAGTTTCCAAGCAATTTCTATCAAGATTTTTTTTGTAGATATGGACATGATTGTTCTAAATTAGTTTAAATTTTTGTATTGACTTTTAGAGAGAGAGGAGAGGGGGGGAGGAGAAACATCAATGTGAAAGAGAAACATTGATTGGCTATGTCCCATACACATCCTGACCAGCAATTAAACCCACAACATGATTGGAGAAATCGAACCTGCAACCTTTTGGTATATGGGACAATGCTGAGCCATACTGGCCAGGATGATTGTTCTAAAATTTATATGGAAAACTGAAGGAACTGAGCATAGCTAAAACAATTTCAAAAAGAAGCATAAAATGGGA